AACAGATTCACGTACGATACATTTTAATATGGATAAAGATGGAATGTAAGTCTTCGAACTTATCTCATTTCACACATGGCTTTATTTTTACTGTATTCAAAAGTAAAAAAAAAACTGGGAAGCAGATAATTAATTATAACACCGTGTGTGGCGCCAGCGAAAATATAAGCAAACAATTCTTGTTTTAATGAAATGAATAATTTATTGTTGTTTTCAACATTTCGCAGATGTTTGAGCAAATACGAATGATTGAAAGACATTGCGCGAGCTTTTTTGTTATTCTGAAATTAAGCTTTTGTAGTAGCTCGATGGCGCAGGTGGTTAGCGCGTTCGGCTACGATTGTTGAAGTTAAGCAACTTTCGCAGTGGTCGGTCATTGGATGGGTGACCAAAAAAATTTCTATCTCGAACTCTTCTCCGTGCTTCGGAAGGCACGTTAAGCCGTTGGTCCCGGCTGCATCTGCAGTCGTTATCACCCACCAATCCGCACTGGGCCCGCGTGGTGGGTCACGGCCCAATCTCCCTATTCCATTCATAGGGAAGGCCTGTGCCCCAGCAGTGGGGACAATAATAGGCTGATGATGATGATGAGTTTTTTATGTTTTCATGGATTTATCGAATATGGACGACCTTCGTGGCTCTAGTGGTTTGTCTTCAAGGTTTCGCCGACTCGGAGGTCCCGGGTTCGAATGCAGGTGAGGAAAATGCTTGTGTGATGAATACGAGCATTTGCGCCTAAGTTTTGGATGCTTACATGCATTCCTAATAAAAATATACCTATGAGTATATGTATCAATATGTATATACTATCCGTTACCTAGTATCCCATAACACAAGTCTTAGTGCTTACTTCGAGGCTAGGGTAATCACGAAGTTATGCCTGGAGGGCGAGGGGTGGATCGGGGAGTTGGTTTACCTGATAGGTACGGGAGCTGGCAGCCATTCGCCTAACGGAAGTTCTTTGGAAAACGCTAACGCTTTCGATTTCAATTTGTCATTTCTGAACGCCGAAGGTTTTCAAATACCTCACGCTCATTTCGTTTAATATTGTTATTACCAGTGCAAAAGAAAAAAAAAGAAATGATGTGGTGTCGTGAGACACCAGGTAGGAACGAAGTTCCTTCGGCTAATGTAGAATCGACACAAATTGCAAACTCGCTTGTGTATGCGACTGTCGCGCCTGCGCACGTCTCATTTAACGGTTTTATTCCACGCACTTTTTTCCACGGATTTTTTCTTACGGTTTTACTATCACATTTTTTTCAGTTCGGTCGCGCAGCAAAATCCCTATCCCCTCCAAGCCTGCCGTAAGGAACTTCGTTCCAAAAAGAGCGCGAGGCATTTGAAAACCTCAGGCGGCTAGAAATAACAAAATGAAATCGTATGCGTTAGCGTTTTCCAAAGCATTTCCGTTAGGTGAATGGCCCCGTGGTCGGCTAGCCGCTCGGGCTGCTTTCTGTTAGACTAGTCAGGTGACGCTGTGAACGGAGAAGCCCAGGATCGGCTAAAGCGGGTGCGACCGTGCTGCTGGTCGGAGACGGGGTGGTTTGTCGTATGCCACGCTTGCATGAGTGCACGTCAAAGTAAACCCGCACCGACTAGCGGCCCTCTGGCTGCTCGCCGCTTGCCGAATGCACCACGCAATTTGTTCACAGCAAACCAACGCGGCGTTGGTCATAGTCGTGGATATAATGCATTTTTTCTCGCCGTCATCTAGAAAAAAGAGTAATCAAGGTTTTCTGGAATGACGAGCTCCAGTGGCAGCACAGAGACGAAAGGTCTACTCATCAGACAAATCACCTATGTCGTCATAATCTATGGATCAATTTAATTGCTCATTCGATTAATTCGCGCCTAAAACTTTATACAGAAAACCTCATGTCGCAGTGGCGCCAACTGGTGGCGAAAATTTTCCTAAACACTCTTATTGGTAGGTTTTAGAAGTATCTATAATGAAGGCTTCCCAAGTCTTAGGAGCAGGAGTCTTTATTTTCTATATCGGAAATTAGAAAAACCAATAAATAACAGTCTATGTACTTAAATCGGTCAGCGCCATAGTCAGTCAAAAATTGACACTTTAAAGTTCAATGTTTCGCAAACGGACGGATCCCTTAATCAAAAATAGTCTTTGAAACCCCGAAGTAATTCTAAAGGATCTATTCAACGATACCTGATGGGGTAGACGATGAAATATCTCCAGGTTACATGTAGGGAAACTAACCTCAAAAAAATATTTTACCTACCATTATCTACCAGTTTGTCGGCACGATTGATATACATATCTACAAATAAATTTAAAAAACCAAAAAATCCGACTGCTTAATTATATTTCAAATAAAAACTGAAAAGAAAGAAACAAGTCCAGTAGTCTATAATTCTGTTAATAAGGAACAAAGCAACTTTAACAGTCGGGACCCATTAGATATTCAAAAATACATAATATTTTTTAATAATGAGTCCCGACTGTTAAAGTTGCTTTGTTCCTTATTAATAGAATACCCTGTTATAAAAATTAGAGGTAAAAATTACAGCTCTCTAGTGCTAACAATCTCCAAGCAAAAACCGGGGACGGGCAGACAGAAAGACATGACGAATAAGGGTAAATGTTTAAATTTATTAAAAACCATATTTGAAACCCGTTAATTTAGTGTTTAATTTCATGAGTGATGTACGGAAACATAAGAAATAAACAGTTGTGTAGGTTGGTGGTATATGTGTCAATGAAAAAAAAAATCAATTCAAGATGTATTATTTATTAACGAATCACCTAATTATTTAATAAATTTAATATCAAAGTGATTGAGTAACAGATTTTAGTGTCGCATTTTATTCTTAAAGATTTACGAAACTACAATGTTGTTATAAATTGCCACATTTGACCCAGTGAACTTCGTACCCCCATAAAAATAGGGGCGCGTGGTAGAAGAGAAATTTTAGTATTTGGATTTTTTAATACCACATTATAAAAACATAAATAATGCCAAAAAAAATTTAGGGTGTAACGGAGTGTTCTATCAATTTCCTGGGATAACATCCTTCTAACTCATATGAGAGCACTGCGTTACAATACCTAATAGTTTGAATTTTGGCGCGAAGGCGCATTGTAGGTTTCAGAACACTACGTTACCGGTGGACAACCATTATCACTTAAGGATATGAAAAATAGATAGTAGCCAATTCTCAGACCCACGGAATATGCATATAAAATTTCATAAAAATCGGTGAGGTCGTTTCGGAAGAGTATGGTAACTAACATTGTGACACGAGAATTTTATATATAAGATTTATATATAATCTTTCGAGGTATCTTTGTATTATGGTTTTAGTTTTTATCGTTACATATAACCTACATGTACAGGGCGTCCCACGGGTTTGTCACATGGAGGGAAAATATATTAAATATTGAAGATAAAATATTTTACTGAAAGAAGACTTCATATTATTTTAATAATAAGTAGAACTGCATTCACAGTTTAAAAAAAATCGCCTGCCAAAACCGGGAATCATACTCGTGAAATGTGAAACAAAAAAACATGTTGTTTTGTTCAATTATTGAAGTTATACTTCTTTAGGCGCGTTATGAAAAAATGATGAGAGTGAAATTTTAAGATGCGCGCGCATCACTGTAACACAAAAAATTAACAGCATGAAGTTGGTCGCTTTAGCGACCAACTTCATGCTGTTACTTTTGTGTTTACCGCACATTAAGAAACTCTACCAACAAAATAGAAATAGAATCTCTATTTTGTGGGTGCTAACGACTGCATTGTGAAGGCCTATCAAAAGTATTTATTAATCTGGAACAACGGAACCAAAGCGCGATTCAGGAGACTACAGCGCCATCTCTTGACCATTGGTGTAGTAGAACCAAAAACCACATCTTTATTTCTTGTAATAAAGTAACAAAAAGTATTTATTAATCTGGAACAACGGAACCAAAGCGCGATTCAGGAGACTACAGCGCCATCTCTAGACCATTGGCGTAGTAGAACCAAAAACCACATCTTTATTTTTTGTAATAAAGTAACAGTTATAGGTATGCATATTTATAATATTTATCCACATGTTTCTAGTTTGTATATTCGGAATACGAAATACGAGTTTCATACAAGTGCAAATCACATATGTTCTAATAAATTATATTCAGTAGCGATTTTAATTGAATATTTTGATTATTTATTTATTTTTTCAAATTAAAACTGAACTTTATTGACTGTGTCCTTTTCCAGACTTTTTATTAATTTATTGTAATTAATTATTTGCATGCAATTAAAAACTAATTTTAAACGATGGCAAAGAAGGATAACTTCTCACGCGCCTACATAAGTACACGCACCCATTTTTTTAGAAAAAAGTCTTATTTCGTGACTTTTCTTTCATTTAAAATGCTATATTATTTTGGAAGAAAAATAGTAATATTCCTCATGACTTAACCTTTCGACGGTTATCAAAAATACGTCATATGTGTTTTTTTCAAATCTCACGAGTTCGACTCCCGGTTGTAGCAGGCGATTTTAAAAAAATCTGTGAATGCACTTTTAGTTAGGTATAAAAAATAAAATGATGTCTTTTTCAGTAAAATTTCCTGTCTACAATATTTTAGTATGAAATCGACGACATTACACTATGTAAGTAACTAAAATTTACATATACATATATATATTTAAGCATTTGTTGGTTACCTACAATAATAAGAGATGGCGCTGCCTTACAGGCTAAGAAGGGCTAGAGAAAATTTGACACGGCCATCAGGGCCGCGGTAGCATAATGGTTTGTGCATTCGTCCGGATAGCAAAGGTGTGAGTTCGAGTGCCGTCTCCTGCATATGTCTATATGTCTTCTTTCAGTAAAATTTCCTGTCTTCAATATTTAACATACTTTCCCTCCGTGTGAGAAACCCGTGAGACTATTGGTGATTATTGATGATAAATCGATAATTCTAAATGCACGTATCGTTGTTAATTTAATAGCGTTATGTATAATTATATTATGTAAAAGAATTATGTGCCTTTTACGTCTCGAAATCTTTTAAAGTTCCAACCGAAGCTTCTTTGAGTTCCATGCCTGCTGAAACTAGGCGTGGACGGGATTGACTCCGCTGTTCTGGACGAATCGTCCCTTGTGAGGGTCGAGTCCCCTCTCGTAAAGGGCGAGTCACCTCTGGTAAGGATCGAGTCATCTCTAGTCAGGGACGAGTTGCCTCTTGTGAAGAAAGTGTTCGTTGGCGATATCGACATATATGTCGGAGTGGACACGATCTGTTCGGACGACTTGATGTCAACTTCTACGCATTTCAGCTGTGAAGCGGAGCAAAGGGGCGAGTCGACCTGTTCCACCGTGTCTAGGTTATCCACGTCAATGATGTATGACTCTTTCTGCTTGCAGTATCTGGAAAGAAACGATCAGTTGTGAAATATAAAACGCCTATTTTATATTTCACTTACTTTTGTGTTTACCGCACATTAAGAAAATCTACCAACAAAATAGAAATAGAATCTCTATTTTGTGGGTGCTAACGACTGCATTGTGAAGGCCTATCAAAAGTATTTATTAATCTGGAACAACGGAATTAAAGCGCGATTCAGGAGACTAAAGCGCCATCTCTTGACCATTGGTGTAGTAGAACCAAAAACCACATCTTTATTTTTTGTAATAAAGTAACAAAAAGTATTTATTAATCTGGAACAACTGAACCAAAGCGCGATTCAGGAGACTACAGCGCCATCTCTTGACCATTGGTGTAGTAGAACCAAAAACCACATCTTTATTTTTTGTAATAAAGTAACAGTTATAGGTATTCATATTTATAATATTTATCCACATGTTTCTAGTTTGTATATTCGGAATACGTGTTTGAGTTTCATACAAGTGCAAATCACATATGTTCTAAAAATTATATTCAGTAGCGATTTTAATTGAATATTTTGATTATTTATTTATTTTATCAAATCAAAACTGAACTTTATTGACTGAGTCCTTTTCCAGACTTTTTATTAATTTATTGTAATTAATTATTTGCATGCAATTAAAAACTAATTTTAAACAATGCCAAAGAAGGATAACTTCTCACGCGCCTACTTAAGTACACGCACCCGTTTTTTTTTTGAGTGTGTATGCTGTTGGTCGCAGATGACCTTTACAGCGTCATCGGGTTTGGGGACGGCGAGATCCTAAGGGGACCTCAAGCCGAGAATTAGTGTAGTGTGCCTCTAGTAGTATTCCAGGCGAAAGGTATCTCCATACGGGGGGAGTCTCCTCTCCGTCTGGAACCTCTAGACCACTCGAACCGGCGGGGGTTGGCTCAATTAGAGGGTGTCTCTGAGACTCGGACCTCGGCTCTAGTTAGCCGTTGTCGTGGGGGCCTTATTGCTGATTGATGAATTACTTATAATACTACCAAGGCCCCCTCTCTCCAGACACAGGCCTTTCTTAGTGACAGAGTCACATAGAGAGAGAGCGGATCATAGGTCATCATCATCATCATCATCACCAACCATATCGTGAGCGTGTATATGTGTGAGACAGAGCGTGAATATGCGTGTGTGTGGATGTGAGTGTAGTCGGAGTGGGCATGTAGAAATCCGCCACGCCTCAGTCATATTAATATTGAAGCGGAGAGCTAGTGAAATGGAAAATTAAGGCTAAGATTTTAGACGCAATGGGTATTTTTACACTATTTTAAAGTAATGCACAAAATAATATTAAAGCAGATGACAGACAAAGAATACGAGAACACAATAACAATTTTGATAGCAAAAAATCATAAATATGTCAATACTGTCAATTGGAGAGGCCTATGTCCAGCATTGGACTAGGATAGGCTGTTGATGATGATGATGATGATGATGATGATGTTGATGATGATGATGATGATGATGATGATGATGATGATGATGATGATGATGATGATGATGATGATGATGATGATGATGATGATGATGTCAATACTTTTAAAACACTTCAAAAAACTATAAAACTAAATCTATCGAAAAATGTCGCATCAAATGTATTGAAGTAGTTCTTACTTTAACACGTTTTTAAATCTGTATCCCCAGATGATCTCTTTGGAGAGGTAGGACGTTCTGCTCTGGGTGACTGTGCCCATGTTCTTCGATGACCCGGTGAGGCACACCACTATCTCAAACCTGGAGGAAGAACATGAGATTTACTTTTATTAAGGATATCAATATTTTTTTTCTGCAGCGTAATGCTAAGAAGATTGCAGGCATAGTTTTGATCTTAAGAATTGTTGAAAACCCAGAATTCATTCATTGTCATTTTGTTGTCAAAGCAAAAATTTTAATACAAATTCTGTGAGAATTTCAACAGTCTCTGTAGCAAATCCATTAATGACCACAAATAGTTTGTGTTCACGAAATAGAGCCTGCTGATTGACGGATTTAGACAATACAGGCTTAGTGACAGGTTCTCACTGTAACCCTTTAGACTTTGATATGGAATACGGTATTCGACAGTATTAAAAATAAAGTGCCAATTGTTAGCATTTCTGTTTAGAATGAATATTGGCAGGGGTTTTTACTATTTTTACAAAAAAAATATTCATATTTTTACTAAAAACCCACAAAACACATAATAGTTTTCTTATCTATTGTCACGTGACCCAAAACGCTTGGGATTGGCGGAGCCTAAAATGACGTCACACGCAAGTAAACTTCCGGTTAAAGTGACATTACATAAACATTAGTCAATAACGTGAGATCGTTTTCTAAAACTTGTCAAATACCCTATTCTGATTACTTCTTTCAATAATTACCTAATGGAAAATAACAACCTGCTTTCTAAATAAAAAAAAATAACTAATTTATTTTGTGCACAAGCCACAAATAAATTCTTCTACCAAGATTATCATTAGCCTATTAATATCCTCACTGCTGGGGCACAGGCCTTCCCTATGGATGGAATGGACTAGGGAAATTGGGCCGTGACCCACAACGCGGCCCAGTGCGGATTGGTGGGTGCTAACGACTTCAGATACAGCCGGGACCAACAGATTAACGTGCCTTTCGAAGCACGGAGGAACTCAAGATAGTAATTTTTTGATCACACATCCAATGACCGACCGCTGCGAATGTTGCTTGACTTCAACGATTGCAGCCGAAAGCGTTAACCACTTGCACCATCGAGCTCCTTTACCAGGATACGACCACAGAATTTTTGGAGCAAAAGATAAGATCAGTTACTATTCAATTCTTGCTCATGTATTTTGAAAATTGTTTACTGGATATTTCGGGGCTTTTGTATATTTATTGTTACATTTTTTACATTATGTGATGGAAGCTGACCTCAATACATGTTTATAAGTTTGATGAATAACTTTGACTTCTTTGTACATTCTCGAAATAGCAACTTCCATTTGTATACAGTCGCAAAAGATGTAACAGATCGAAGTCAGAGGTATCCTAATAAAATAAAAATGGACACAGTTCCGAAAACAAAGCGATTCTAAAGAAATGCACCGGCGGCGGCAATGGCATTTAAAATTTATAATCAAATTCCAGAAGAAATTAAAAGCCAAACCTTTAATATGTTCAAGTCAAAACTTTGTTAGTGGTTAAATGAAAACAAGTTTTTTCAGTATGGTTGAGTTCATGAATTATGGTAGGATTTGATGCAGGGGTTGAAGACATGCTTAATAGGTTTAAATATAACATTTAATTTTGATTCTTTACAAGGTCATTCTAATTTTGACATTCACATAATTATTGACAAAATAAATTGACAACATCGAATAATTATAATAAAAATTATTGACATTTATATAGGTAATTGAATAGAAAAGTTTGCTTGTTATCTTTTTATTTAGATGAAATGTAACACCATTATTTGTACCCTATTTAATGCAAATAAATTGAATGGAATTGATGTCAGCTTTCAATTTGACGACACTGTATGAAATAATACAGGCAGAAAAAGCAGCCCTTGCTGAGTTTATTGCCGGTTCTTCTCAGTACAAGGTCTCCCGCCGTAAATTTGCGAACCGATGGCGTAGCTTTCGACTTTCACATGTGCTTGTTAAAGCCTAAACTGAATAAATGAATATTGAATTTAAATTTGTTCGCCACCGACCAACAGATCAGAGGCTAGACCATCAATCTCAATCCTAAATACCTGTAATCCATCATGTCCTGCGGTGAGAAGTCGTAGAGCGGGCTCTCCGAGTCGATCACGTGCACCACCGTGATTGGCCACAGGAGGAACGCGTTCGCTTGCTTCAGTTTCAGCTGGTGGATATAGTTCTGGACTAGCTCGCCTTCCAGGGTCCTGCAAATGAGGAAAAACTTATAAAGAGCAGACGGGAGCTGAGAGACATTTGAAAAATAGGTATGTAATTGAAGAAACTATCGCTGTCGCGTACTATAACTTAATACCGTGCGATAGCTAGCGATAAATGATAATGCAAATAAAAATTGCAAAATTCGAGGTTTGGCTCTTGACGATTTTCTCTTCGAACATTAGATCTATGTAAAAGAAATATTATACACAACACCACCAAAATCTTTTTAGACTCCACTTGAATTCTTTGTAAAACAACAATTTCAATAGACCTCATATTATTGGCCTATGCCATTGCTAAGTACAAGCACAAAATAGACTTTTATAGTTCAAGGGTCCCCTAGCGTAGACTTGGGAACAGAACTTTCGAATGTGCTTGTAATCTTAGTGTCGCCGCACACGGGCCACCGACCACAACCACAAAACGTTGCCACCGGCATATTTCTTGTAGTTTTCATACATTTTATATGGACTCGCCATACACGGTACGCCGTGGCCGCCACACGCTACAAATCGTCGTTGCTCGCTTCTTGTGGCCCGCACCGGCCACTTAATGCGCCGATACAAAACGCCGCCACACGTCACTCGCGCGATTCCGCACCCCCTCTCTCCCTTACCTTAGTCGGCCGCTGTCTCGCGCTTCAGCCACTTTAGTAGCTACTTCTAGCTGCTCGTGGCGGCGTTTGTTGCTGTGGCGTGTGGCCCGTATGTAGCGACAATTAGATTAAAACAAAAAGGGAAGATGCACTCGCGGCTCAAAAGTGATCCGCTTAAATTGTGGTACATGAACACAATTCGCTTAAGTCACAATTGGACATTCAAACACGGTGCATGTACACTCAATATAAAAATATTGTGATGTAATGAGCGTACCGTATATTCTGTGTTATAAAGATAAAACAATGCCTTCGATTCTTTTATAAAGAATACAAATAATTCAAAATCAAATAACAAATGCCTCGGCAACATTTATCATTCGTAAATCTGTAAAAACATTTTTTTCTCAAAAATCACGGTTTGTCGTGAATGTTATTAACGTAATCGCCAATTAGTTATCGAGAAAAGGACAACAATACACCGTACGGACTCGATAGCGGACTCGCCGTTTCGCTTGCGCTGCGTTGAAGCGTACAGTTTTGTCTAGCATCGCTCTATTGAATGTTCATATACAGACGTCTGCGTGTGTATGAGTTGCTTATGTAGTTGAGTCGGATCATGTTTTATTTGATGTTTGTACGAGCGTACCGTGTCTTCCCTTTTTTGTTTTAATATAAACTTGTAAAACATCATAATTTCTTTCAACTTTTGTTACAATATCAACTGAATAAACCTAGTTACAATATTTAAATAGATTAGGATCAATATATGAACCTTTTTGTTTGTTTTCCTTTATAGTTAGGTAGACGAATGACTCTACCCAACTTGATGTTAAGTGGTGTTAAAGTCCAGATGCAAAGATAGCTGGTGCAGCAGTTAATCAGGGCTTGAAACCGGTTTCGAAAATACCGGTAAATAAAGGTCAATACCGGTTTTTAGTAAAGGTTTCGTAAAAAAATAAAAAACAGCGGTATGTCAAACTTCATGAACTCGCGTTACAACTTTATTTGGAACTATATTCTGTATTCTGTTTAGAAGAATGATGTCTACCATACTTAAGTAAACCAAATTCAAATCAGGGCTTGAAACCGGTTTCGAAAATACCGGTAAATAAAGGTTAATACCAGTTTTTAGTAAAGGTTTCGTTCGGAGCGCGTCCGAAATGAAAGCGGCACCTAAAACCTTAATAAACCGGTTAAATCCAGAGCGACACGTGCACGAGTCGGCATCGCTTGAAGATTATTTTGTTTGAACTAATCAAGTCACAACTTATTAATGCTCAGAGATTAATGCATTTATTGACACGTTTGCTAGCGTCTAGTGAGTCAAGTTATTTATTTATTATCAACGGCGTCAGGTAAGAGCGAAATGAAATCCTTTTAAAACTGCTAAATTGATTCAAAACCTATTTGATTTCGCTTTTTAGGAAAACCGGTTTTTTAAGGTTAAGGTAAAGCCAAACCTAAATAAAATGCTCCTAATGTACTTGACACTGATTTAGGTTTGAAAATTAACCGGTAAACAAGCCCTGCAGTTAATACCTGATAGGTTTGAGCATGTAAGCTGTGATGGTGCTGGCTATGATATGGATGTTGGTGAGGTCCCACACTCGGAACTGTAGGCACAGCTGACCGTCTCTGAGGCAAACCTGAAGAGCGAAGACATTAAACTATCATTAAACATCAAATCTATACTTAATATTACAAAGGTCAAAGATTTGATTGTTTGTATTGTATATTTGTGTATCGTATTTTAGTGTCGCCGCACACGGGCCACCGACCACAACCACAAAACGCCGTCACCGGCATATTTTTGTAGTTTTCATACATTTTATATGGACTCGTCACACACGGTACGCCGGTGGCAGCCACCCGCTACAAATCGTCGTTGCTCGCTTCTTGTGGCCCGCACCGGCCACTTATTGCGCCGATACAAAACGCCGCCACACGTCACTCGCGCGATTTCCCACCCCTCTCTGCCTTGCCTTAGTGGGCCGTTATCTTCTCGTGGCGGCGTTTGTGCTGTGGCGTGTGGCCCGTGTGCGGCGACACTTAGATCCCTTAAGTTGTTGATATTTCCATGTCTCTATATATTTGAGTGCTTCGTTTTCGTGAAAAGTAATCCAGATCTTTTTAAAGAGAATAGACTCATATGCTCGGTCGTCGCCATCGGAAACCTCAAATTTGTACATACATGTGTAGAACAGCTCTTATGAAAAAAAGTGTTGGAGAAATGGCTCCTTAAGAATATTATAAGTTACCTGACAGCATTAAATATTATAATATAAATAAATACATTTAAAAGAATACTGACGAAATTTTAAGTGGATAAATGTTATTATAATGTCAATGAATTTTTAATTGATACTGTTAAATCGATGTATTTTTATTATAGATTTGATAAATTAATGTATTAATTCTTTTATAAAAATGATTTTATTATATTTAAAATGATATTAATATCAGTAATGAAAACGAATTTTCGTATGCGGTTAAGCATGTCATGGAGGCACGTTTATATAAATTTTTACAATTTATTGTTACCAATGACAACGAATAAATGATTTGATTTGAAGCGACAGCATTAAAGTTACCGCTAGCTGATGGCTGATGGAGACAATACTTACAGCTGCTTTCTTGCTGAACCCGACGTCGGTGACATGCCTGTTGGGTCTGACCATCTTCGTGAACAGTAAGCTGACGAGGCCTCCTGATAGGGCCGTGCCTGCTACTATCTGGAATTAATTATTGACTATGTGAGATGAAATTCTTGGCAATCCATGGATTCATCGTGCGGGTGCCGGGTCCATCATGTGGGAGGAAGAGAAACTCTGAGCAGTTCCCGGGACTTGCGACCCACGTGTAGGTTTAAGGAGGCCCCCTTTGTGATGTGCAACAACGCTCATCTTCTCTGCTCGAGTTAGCCGCCCTTCCTAGTCAAATTTGATACAAGGCTGTTAGTGCAGCCTTATTTACTCGTCCCAAAATCGTTCCTACAAGAGAAAAATTTTAGGCACATTTTTATCTTGGGACATTTTTAGTATTTTGGAGTACAATATCACATACTATCATTACTCTGATTATAATATATATATACATAAATATATATATATATATCTTATATGTAGAATTCTCGAGTCACAATGTTAGTTACCATACTCATCTAAAACGGCCTGACTGATTTTTATGAAATTTTATATACATATTCCGTGGGCCTGAGAATCGGCGACTATCTATTTTTCATATCCTTAGTGATGTTTGTCCACCTGTAACGTAGTGTTCTAAAACCTACAATGCGCCTTGGCGCCAAAATTCAATATATTGGGTATTGTAACGTAGTGTTAGGAGGAATGTTATCCCAGGAAATTGATAGAACAATACGTTACACATTGTTAACTCTAAAATTTTTTTGGTCCATATTTATTTTTTTATAATGTAATATTAAAAAATACGTACAACCCTAAATTTTCTCGTATACCACCTGCCCCTATTTTTATGGCGGTACGAAGTTCGTTGGGTCAGCTAGTAATAACTAAAATACATTATTAAAAGGACTCCTTTTAGCCAAGGTTCCGAAGATACTGGCAGCTAGACTAGTTATAAATATCTTACTATTTGTTCTTTAGTTAAATGTACATACATGTATCTCTGATTCAAAACTTTTTGTGACATTTCTTTTCAAGTAATGTCTTTTAACAATTATCTTTTAACAATTTTTAACATCAAATATTAAAAATTATATCACCAACCTCGAGGACCATAATGATGATTGCTTCAGGGCATTCCTCATTTGGGAATCGAACTCCATAGCCTATTGTCATCTGTAACAATAGATAAATAGTAATTTAGGGAATTACTATACCCTAATGATAAAATAAAAAATGTGTAATAAAATTATCAGCCGCTTATTTAAGCTCAGTTTAACGCATTGTTTTTTATTCGTATATTATTCATCTATATATATAAAACTCAAAGGTGACTGACTGACTGACATAGTGATCTATCAACGCACAGCCCAAACCACTGGACGGATCGGGCTGAAATTTGGCATGCAGGTAGATGTTATGACGTAGGCATCCGCTAAGAAAGGATTTTGATCAATTCTACCCCCAAGGGGATAAAATAGGGAATGAAAGTTTCTATGAAACTTTGTCAATTTCAAACCGATCGGGCTGAGACATTGCATGCAGGTATAAGAAGAATCATAGATGAATGTCATTGTGTATAATACAACTGAGAACAAAAACTGTAGTCTACACTTCAGCTCTACACCGAAGCGAAGCGAGGGCGGGCCGCTAGTTAATAATATAACCTACCTATTTAAATGGATTATCTGTAAGAATAAAACATAATTTCTTCTTTTCTCTTGGGTTCCGTAGTCTTGACAAGGAACCCTTATGGTTTCGTCATGTCCGTCTGCCCGTCCCCAGTTTTGCTTGGAGACCATTATCACTGTAGAGTTGTATTTTTGTGGAGATATGTATATCAATCACGCCGACAAAATGGTAGACTAATATTTTGAAAAACATTTTTTTTAGGGTAAACTCCCCTACATGTAACCTGGAGATGTTTTTTTTATCATCTACCCCATCGTGTGGGGTATCTTTGGATAGGTCCTTTAACATTACTTCAAGGTGTCTAAGACTATTTCTCGACTTACGGATTCGTTTGCGAAATATTGAACTTCTAAGTGCTAATTTTTGACTGAGTATGGCATCGTCCCCCTTTTAAAAGCTTAACTGTTTGCTTGAAAAACCTGCTTTAATGAACTTTTAAAGAAAATTATAGCGATTAAGATATATTTGTTAGTTTAAGAGTAATAGTCCTTCAACTTTGGTTAAAGAAAATTTTCTACCGCGAGTAGGGTTACCATGTCTCAGGATTTGTCCTGAGATTTCAGGATTTGTGGAATCTTCTCAGGATTGCGGCTGGATTTTGCAAATCTCATGAAATCTCAGGATTTTCTGAATTTTCAATAAAAATAAAAATTAAAAAAAAATATTAAACAGAGTAAAAATAATCTTCCTATGGTAATATTTGCACAATTAAAATCAGTATTTATCCAATTTAATAAAGTATCTAAAGTTTATTATTTTTAAGTAAGGTTTTTTTCTTTAATTATGGATTTATAAAATGCCCCACATCTTAAGCTCTTCAAATTATATTGAATTAAAAGTATAAGCAGTGTATATAAACGATAATATTACGACTTTTTTAAATTGTTAAGTAAAAATTCTCAAACTAAAAAATCTCAGGATTTTTCAATGGAAATCAAGTCTTTTCTCCGGACTTTTGATTTTTTCATCTGGTAACCCTAACCGCGAGTACCAACGGCAACGACTTCTTAGTCGTGCTAAAGTTACGTTTTTATAAAAAGTATATAAGCACTTGAAAAGATCGGCGGGTATTCCGCATCATCCCCTTTTTAGGGGATGATCGCTTCAGATGAAGCTTTTAGTCAGTAAGAGACTGTCGTAACCTTGCAGCCGGCTGTAGACACAACCGATCCCCCGCCTGTGAGGAAACACAAAAAAATGGCGTTTATCATTCGTATTTGAAAAAATAATAATACCGAATTGATTTTGAGTTTGAGACGCAGTTTGACTTTGATTTGAGTTGAGATACATAGATTGATATTAATTGGTTTTTCTTATTTCTGATGTAGAAAATAAAGACTCCTGCTTAAATATATTGTGGTAACTACAGGCAACGACGGAACCCTACACTGCGCGTGGCACGACACGCACTTGGCCGGTTTTTTTGGAGTTTACTCCTTAAGATCTATCGATGAATGACATTAATGACCTCGTTACGTTTTTGTGCGCAAACTCCTCTGCGCACCTTTCACTTTTAGCCATGGCAACGGATAAAAAACATTAAGTTGTTACAAATGTCAATAAAATAAATAAACTAAAAATAGATAAAATCGGAGCAAAATTAATGAAAACAAATAAATAACAGAATCTAGAGAAATGCCGGTAAGTGTCCAGCACTCTGGAATAGTGATTTTCAGTACAGATGGAATTATAATACATATTTACAAAATGATGACTAGTGTGTGATATTTTTGAAATTGTGTGTTTCCAGAAATACATAATAAAATATATGATGAATATCGCTGATGTTAGATGATAAAATGTGTGACATGGAACCTATGATAGTCGAAACCATGGGACGATTCCTGAGGTATCTCTACTTGTAACCGACTTCTTAGGACTTGATTTTGTTTTGTGTCTGTTCAAAGACAATCGTTTTTAGAGTCGGTCCGGTCGTGCGTCGGAGCTGACACACACAATTTTTTAATTGATTCAAGTATATAAATTTAAAATGTTAAATTTACTTAATTAGTTATATAAATAAAATTTAACACGAGTGCTAAAGAGATGTCGCGTTACTTTCACCTCAAAGTTAATACTTATCAAATGAAAGTGTCATAATTATAAAAAAGATTGACGTATTTAGTTCACCGTGAATCTAGACTACCGATGACATTATCTGATATGCGTGTCATGTAAAATTGATAATGAATAATGAATGAATTAAAGATAAGTACAATTCAAAATATTAGATTATTACACCTTTAAATAAATGTTTTTGTTTAATAGTCAAGAGAGAAAGATGTTTTTTTATTTCCTATCATAGGTTTACCTTCCATTTCATGACAAAGTAATACATCCATAAATGGAATGCTCTGCCCGCTCACGTTTTCCCTCCCTCTTACAACCTGGGATCCTTTAAAAGTAAATCACAAATGACCGCATACATTCAAGTACTTACCTGTGTCTCTACAGATAGCAAGAGCAGATCGGCGAAGGAAGAAGTTGCGATGACGCAGTGGTCTCGCCTCCTCATTCTCGGCATAAATACCACAAACTTGTTGATGCCCACGACAGATGCTTTTCAAGAATCAACTACCAAATAACCATACATACACACGTCGACTTCGATGGCGTAGGTGGTTAGCGAATTCGGCCTGCGAGCGTGCAACTTTCGCAATGGTCGGTCGTTGGATGGGTGAGCAGAAGCTTATTATCTTGAGCTCCTCCATAAGGGCTGCATCTGTAGTCTTTACCACCCACGACTGGACCGACATGGTGGTTCACGGCCCAGTCTTCCTATCCTATTCATAAGGCAGGTCTGTACCCTTACAGTGGGAATAAATAAGATGAAGATAATATAAGACATGTACCTGTGTCTCCACAGACATCATGAGCAGACCGGCGAAGGAGGAAGTTCCGTTGACGCAGTGATCTCTCCCGTCGTTGTCCTTATACGACATCGCGACCGCATACCAGATGCCGGCGAACAGGAACCAGAACGCGAAGTGGGCCAGGACTACGGACAGCAGGAGGAATCGCCATTTGCTGTTTATCTATTGGTAATTTTACAACAATTTGAATTATCTAGGAAAAATTTACATTCGATCAAGATTATCTATTTAAAGAAAGAGACAACATTCGTAGCAATACAATATAATAATAGCATAGATTCGCCGTGCGGGTGCCGTGTCCATCGTGTGGCAGTGAGAAAAACTACAAGCAGTCCCCAGGACTTGCGACCCAGGAGTAGGTTTAAGGAGGCCTGCGGATGCGCGACCATTCGTAGACGGGTTCCGCGACCACACCGGCCCTCTCGGCATGCACTCGGGGGACCGCGGTTCTCATAGTGCGTGTCGGGTGACGGTGCAGGAGGATTGTCTGGTTTTTAGTGGCCCTGTTCAGGACGTAGGCAGGGCCCTGTTCACATCAGCGAGCTCCAGGGCTGGCTGACGAGGACAGGGAGAAGTCCTACATACCTTCTTCTCGCTCCCCCAGTAGTTGAAAGATGCGTAAGGCATTTTTCAGACACAAATAAAAAAAAAAGATGCATCGACGCCCCCCTTCACTGCTGGAGTTGCCCCTTCCTAGCAAAATTTGATAGGATTTGATAGCCTGTTAAGTGCAACTTTTGTTACTTATTCTGAAATTTAACTTACTGCAATTCTCGACAGGCCAAAGTCTTTTAAAGGTAATATAGAGATTTTGCTGGTAAATATCTCGTTCCTACTTCTACCCCACATAACCGTTTCTGGTTTGTTCAGCTACTATTTTATAAAGATTACAATTAAAATGTATTAACACTTCACTTTAAAGACTACATTAAATTGGACAGTTGATTGTTCGTTACCTATAGTGGGAACAAGAATCTTAAGGAAGAAAATAATTGTTGAATATCCACCAGAAATCATCAGAAAAATCTGGAATGAGACATTGAAATCTCAACCTCAATAAATTTCCCTATTAATTAAATTAAATTCAACATTTATTGCTGGTCATAATGGATACAAAGGTGATGCTAACAACAAACAAGTGCATTAGGGCCCTGTATATCGCATAATAAGTAGGTAGTCTCTACAGTCTCTACAATTACACCGCGATGTGGCATAATTAAGCGCGTTCTACCGACTATACCACGGCGAGTGTTCTGAGGAGTTATTCTCCCTTATCCCTCCATCACCTTTTCTTTAGAGGACCACGCGCGCTGGCCTACGTTGTCACCGTCTTACTGTGACCACTATTCCTACACGAACAAAGAAATTTGGTAACTCATTTCTTTGTCGTACTATTCGCAAGTGGAATTCTTTGCCCACGCACGTGTTCTCTCCTTCCTACAATCTGGGGTCCTTTCAGAGAGGCGTGAAGAAGCATTTTTGTAACCCGGCAAGGTGTGGATGGTTGATGTGGCAGTTTATAACTGCTGTACCAGTTATCTTCGCGTTTGGATTTTATCACCCCTTAACATCAGGTGGGGTAGAGACATCTGCCTACCTGGCTATAAAAAAATGGTAGATTGTATTCCTGTTAAACCGGGATCATCAGTGCACTGTGCCTTATTATTGAGTTGGCCTATTAAAATTTTCCTGAGTTACCTAAAGCAGCTTTTTCTGTGAGCTTGTAATTATTATACGGTGTAGTATACCCGTACTTCCCAGACAGACTCTCACGTAAAACCCTCTTTTGTTTGTTAACGCAGGCAATCCCTTTATCTACAGACACAGGAAGGGGCACACCGTACCTCACACTTAGCATCTTTGCGAAATGCTGATGACGGGCGCCCCAACGGAGAGCCCGTTAAAGCAACCCGCGTGGCTTACGAGCGCGTCCGGCATATTATACGCTAAAAACCCTTTTGTTTTCGCCAGGAAAATGCGTGACGCATACCCCGCCACCTATGAGTGGCAACAGGGTTATATGAGACTCCTCCCGACCCGTCCTGCCCGCCCGCTCAGCCAGTCCTGGGACTGGCTCAGCGACCGCTCAGGGGGAGGGGGTGGGGTGGCTACCCACTAAAAACCTTAAGATACCCTTCACCTTACTCGGTTCACGGTTCCAACCAGCGTGGGCGAGACAACGGCCTCTGCCGGGAAGAGCCTGAATGAAGGGGCGAGATGACATCCTCGCAGAAAGAGATCAACGCTAACAACACTGCGCATAGTCGAATACCCTCTTCAGCTGTTAAGTGCAGAACCAGAAGATTCCTTATTGAAGGAACTCTCCATATCCCTGGTAGTAAAACCCTAATATCCAGCCACTCAATAATAAGTACTCACCACGGTGTTGACAATATCCCGCATATATTTGATAGACTTGGCAGGAATGTTCCGACGCAACGGCACATTCTCGTCTCCGTTCTTGAACACAACTCTTCTCGAGCGAGTCGGTCTGCCTCTTTGGAATCTGGAATGAGCGTTTATCACCATCAACAGTCAAAAACTCCATTGTCAATGTCCACACTGCCGGGGCACATGCCTTTTTATGTAATTGGGAGAACGACCCGTTATAACCGTAACTTCTATTCCTTTTCTATATTTCACTAACTACCTGAAGCTGCTTTGCGTCCTGAGGTTTCCCCAATGCCCTATATTACAAAATATTGTCACAAACGCTCTCGAAACGTAACCGCGAAAGTGCCAGAGATCGAATTTGCCAGATTACCGCGGGTCGCGATAGAGGTCGAGTAATGCGGCTCATTCTAAAATGAGCCTTATTCAGTGCGGCGTAAGGGAGAAAGTTCAACGACATCTGCACTTGTTTACAAGTTATGCGCGTTACCTGCGTAGGTATAAGTAACAGGTACTTTCTAGAATGCGTCGATCGGTGTATATAAGCGCGATTGGCGCCGCGCAGAGACTGTGAGTTTCAACAGCGATTTTGGAGCGAATCCAAATTCGATGAAAGTGCAACAAAACTGTTCAAGTGCGATTGTTTACAATTAACATTGTGTGTTAATTGTGGGATCTGTATGGTGTATAAAGAACTGTCAAGCGTGAACTGGCATATAATTTCGAACCCCATCCCGACACGTAACAATATTGCTCTACCTTAAACCCTGTAAACTTTAACTGATTAGGGTAGCTACACTCATAAGAAGGCTGGCATTAATCGGCACAACTGGGAATGGTATGGCATGGTAAAATGACATAATGTTCGGCAGTAATTACTACGGGCCGGTTTTGTTGTTCGACAAATACTGCCGAGCTGTCTATGCTGGCCCGATTGTGTGTGTGTAGCTACCCTTACACAAATTGCGCAACGGAAGCTCTGAATGCAACATTTTTCATCAATGCTATAGTAAATCCAAGAATCCACGCTTGGGCTCCCCTACTAGAACGCCCATAGAAAGATGGAGCGGGCGGAAGATTTCTGTTTTATAATAACGAGTGAATCTTTGAAACAATCAGCTAATAGGGTATTTGACAGTATTAAAAATAAAGTGCCAATTGTTAGCATCTGTGTTTAGAATGAATATTAGCAGGGGTTTTTACTATTTTTACAAAATAATTTTCATAATTTTACTAAAAACCCACGACAAAGATAATAGTTTTCTTATCTATTGTCACGTGACCCAAAATGCTTGGGATTGGCGGAGTCTAAAATGACGTCACACGCAAGTAAACTTACGAATAAAGTGACATTACATTGTATCGTTTGACGTTTAAATAACAGTCGTGTGATGTCACACACTAGTAAGACGCCATATTGTCCAGAGAAACATTTTCGCGGCAACTTGAAAATGGAGTTTTTGATTTGGTTATTTTTACTGAAATACACAACAGAATGATGAATATACACTTTTTACGGACACCATAATCATTAATCAATATCGTGAGATCGTTTTCTAAAACTTGTCAAATACCCTATTACCAAGCTATGAGTGATTTACTAAATCCGTTACTTATCATTTATTTGAAGAACGAAAAGAATATTAATTCTAGATAGAAATCTTTTACAAATAAGAGGATAAAAATAGAACTGAAAGATATTATAATCCAGGGGCTTAGGAAATTGGTAGAGTCACGAGTTATGAGATATTTGCGTAAGCAATTGCATGCAATAACAATTTTGATTAGTTAAATGGCATTAATGAACAATATAATTTCTTAAATCTTATTGTCTTAAGCACATAAAGCATTATACACATAAGAAAGTGCCATAACTGGGTCACATTCTGAGGCAAGGCAATTCAACAAGTGCCAACTGCTTTGGGTAACGAAAATGGATAGAAAGAGAACTTATTGGCTTCGCAACATTTAAGCGCGGACAGAATTTAAGTCAGAAGAAAAAATATTTAAGCTGGCTTTGGGTAAACATGGCAGTACGAGGGACATGTGGCAAAGAGTACCGATGGTTGTTAGTGCGAAAAGGTTTTTAATATTGCACCAAACAACGCTCAGTGGGCAGGCCCTCTACCAGGCTGACCGATGATGTGGTGAAGTTTGCGGGAAGTAGAGATGGGCGTTTTTAGATATTTTTGAAATCGATGCGCATCGGTATCAGATAAATCGCATCGGATGCCCGCATCGATGCCGGCATCACATTCATACCGGCATCGCATCGATGTCAACTGAATGTCGATATCTTGTATAACAGGATACGATGCAATATGAATTTCTACAGATGCGTGTTTTGTGTGGGTGTGTCTCTTCGATTCCTTGAATCAGGACTTGAAATGTAATCGAAAACCATTAATTTGCTTTTCGGTATGTTATCTGAAAAGATTGAATGCTGGCAAAATTATTACATAAAAAAATTCACTCAGAGCGTAGGTTTTGAACGCAGGCAGGATGCCAGGTTTGGATGCGCGCATCCGATACGACTGGATGCCGTTAATGGATGCCGATGCCATCTAGTTTTTGTCATCGTTACTATAGCAACAGTGCCACAAACTTTTCTGTGCCGGTGGCAAAAATTTGAACTACAATTTATCCATAGCATTTTGACATTTTTATGACATATTTGTTCACCGCTAGCGACATCTCCATCGGCACAGATAAGTTTGTGGCACTGTTGCTATGGTAACGTTGACAAAAACTAGATGGCATCGGCATCCAATAACGGCATCCAGTCGCATCGGATGCACGCATCCGAAGCTGGCATCGTTATCGCGCATCGTTATTCCAAAAACGCCCATCCCTAGCGGGAAGACGATAGATGCGAGTGACGCAGCACCTATCGGTGTGGAGATCCTTGGGGGAGGCCTATGCAGTGGGTGGGCGTACGGTTGATATGATGATGATGTGGATACAAAATATGATTCGGCAGCTTTCTGCCAAATTTTGGTAGTGGAGAAAACACTTGGATGTGTATTCATTGAAGTATACCAATACACGCTTTATGAATGTATAACATTCAACATCAGAATACTAAAAACAAGCCAAGCGCGCGTCGTGCCACGCGCCATCGCCATGTAGGGTTTCGTAGTTGCCTGAAGTTACCTCAATACCTTTGAGCAGGAGTCTTTATTTTCTATGTGAGAAATTAGAAAAAACCCATTTATATCAATCTTTGTATCTCAACTAAAATACCTAAATCAAAGGAAAATTGCATCTCAAACTCAAATCGATATTTTTTTTGAAGTGAAAACTTCTTTAGCGGCGTTGTACACTTTTTTTTGTATGGGTAAAAATGTAAAAAATGTTAAACTCGCGTCAGGACACGTGGGCTGATCGCGTCGTGACACGTGGCCTGATCGGGAACCTGACGAAAACAATAAAATTGGAAAGGTTGTTGACTTTCAATATATTAGACAAAACATAGTAATATTTTATTTTATCGTATTATAATAATAAGTCTCTATCTAGGAAGTCCAGTTGGCAGCTATATTGCGAAAAAATGCATTTTTTTTACAATAGATGTCGCTAGGTGCGCTTAAATGTGATACATGTAAGTTGATTTTTTTTCAATAGATGTCGCTAAGTGCGCTTAAACGTGATTAATGTAACATAAATTGTCATCTTTGTGTACGATAGCGCAATAAATAAATATTGTATTCTACCACGTACATGATAGTACTTTTATGCTGAAAATTAAAGCAATTCGTGCAAAATTATTCCCTAACCATTCCAAAATATCAAAAATGCACAACGTTAATATTCAAGTTTTCACTTCTGCCGGCACTCCCGGAGTGCAACCCGTCGTTTTTTAATGACACAACCTCCGTTTCTTTTGTTTCCTCCAAGGCGGGGGAGCGGGCTGTGAAATCCTCATGGATACCCTACAGCCGGCTGCAAGGTTATTTAAGACTCTTACTTTCTAAAAGCTTCAACTGAAACGATCATCTCGTGAGAAGGGGACGATGCGGTATAACCGCCGCTCTTTTCGAGTGCTTCAATATACTTTTTATAAAAACACAACGCGATACTAAGCCGTTGCCGTTGGTACTCGCGGTAACGAGGAACTGATGATTTTTTATTATGGTTTTTTTAAAATAATTTTTAAGATTTTCGCCCTACTCGAATTAAAATTAGCACTTTAAAGTTTAATTTTTCACAAATGGATCCCTAAATCAAAAAATAGTCTCAGAAACCCCAAAATAATTTTAAAGGAACTATTCAACGATATCCCACACGGGTAGATGATAAAAAATACTACCCGCGGTTATAGGCACGGAAGAGTCTATAAAAAATAATTTTTCATTTTTTGAAGTGAAAACTTCTTTAGCGGCGTATTACACTTTTTTTTTGTATGGGTAAAAATTGTTAAACTCGCGTCAGGTTAAACATCTGATAGCATCATGGCACACAATAAAATTGGAAAGGTTATTGACTTTCAATATATTGGACGAAACATAGCAATATTTTATTTTATCGTATTATAATAATAAGACTATCTAGGACGTCCACGTGGCAGCTTTATTGCGAAGAAAATGCATTTTTTTACAATAGATGTCGCTAAGTGCGCTTAAACGTGATTCATGTAAGTTGATTTTTCTGAGAGATAAACTTTTTTAATGTAATATAAATTGTCATGTTTGTGTACGATAGCGCAATAAATAAATATTGTATTCTACCACATACATGATATTACTTTTATACTGATAATTAAAACAATTCGTGCAAAAATATTTCCTAACCATTCCAAAATATCAAAAATGCACAACGTTAATATTCAAGTTTTCACTTCTACCTGGAACTCCCGGAGTGCAACCGGTCGTTTTTTTCTTACCATTTTGTCGGCGGGATCAATATGCATCATCATCATCATCATCAGCCTATTAATGTCTCCACTGCTGGGGCACAGGCCTTGCCTATGGATGGAATAGGGAGATATATAATCCATATACATATCTCCACAAAATTACAGCTCTCTAGTGCTAATAGTCTCCAAGCAAAACCGGGGACGGACTGGCGGACATGACGAAACTATAAGGGTTCCTTGCCAGAACTACGGAACCCAAATAAAAAAAAGACAAAAACGGTACATCATAATAGGATATTTTTTTTGAGAATTTATATTTTTTATATACAAATGACGCGTCTTATCTCAAAATTGTGATTTTGGAGTTTTAACATTTTACGAGGTGTCGTGTTTATTTTCGTAGATTAGAATCTCATAATTTGATAAGATACAGGCAAATGGCAAACCCACAAACGATTATACGAGTGAGAATAACTAAAAGCGAGTTTAAAGTTTTAAGCAAAATTACAAGAAAACTTAGAAAAAAGGATGGATAGAATCGGCAAAGTTGTTCTCAAGTTATGGCGTGAATAAGAGAATTTGTAATTAATTTTTAAATAGTTATTAAGATTTTATAACAAACTAGCTGACCCAGCGAACTTCGTACCGCCATTCAATTAGGGGCAGGTGGTAGAAGAGAAAATTTAGGGATGCATGTATTTTTTAATACCACATTATAAAAAAAAAAATATTGTCCAAAATTTTTTAGGGGTGCGTAACGTAGTGTTCTATCAATTTCCTGGGATAAAATTCCTCCTACCCCATATGAGAACACTACGTTACAATACCCAATAGTTTGAATTTTGGCGCGAAGGCGCATTGTAGGTTTCAGAACACTACGTTATAGGTGGACAACCATTATCACTTAAGGATAAGAAAAATACATAGTAGCCAATTCCCAGACCCACGGAATATGCATATAAAATTTCATAAAAATCGGTCAGGCCGTTTCGGAGGAGTATGGTAACTAACATTGTGACACGAGAATTTTATATATAAGATTTACTAGTCAAGTGCAGTACTAGCACTACAAAAGACTCAGTGAAGTAAGAATACCAAGAGGGGTAGGGCTTAGCGAATTCGAGCAACCGACCGATTAGACGACCTCCGTAGCCGAGGGGTTTCTACGCCGGGTTTCATGGTGTCGCCGACTCGGTCCCGTATTCGAATCCCGGCGGGGGCAGATGTTTGTGGGGACAAATAAAATAGAATTAGCATTTGTACTCCAGTCTTGGATGTTTAATATGTATTTATATATAAATATAATTATATATAAATATACTTACCCTCAAATATAAAAAATCTGATTTTAACAAAATTTAGGACATACATTTTTAATTATCAAAATGTACTATACAATTAATGATTTTTTAAATGATAAATAAAATACCCTAATCTAAATTTGGTTGACATTCGTGTGTATTTAATTTAATAGTATAAATTATGTAAATGATAAATATATGTATCTAATTTTCTGACATTTTAATTCAATATCGATGCAATTTTTCCAGACTTTTTTAATTATGAATGGATTAGAAGTACTTTTTTTATGACATTGCGTATAACTATTATCTTTAAATTAGTTTTATTCATTTTGACGTCACTGAAAACCTCATTAATTTAATTATCTTCTATAATATGTAATATTTGCATGTTGACGTTCAACAAAATATGCTGGAAACTAAAGAGCTAACAACTATTATAACCATATTTCGGCAAATAAATGATTATTATTATTATATGTACAATATTATATATTCTTCCGTTCTCCGTTACCCTAGTATCGCATAACACAAGCCTTACAGTGCTTACTTTGGGGCTAGGCTAATTGGTGTGAGTGTTGGAAATATTTATTTATTTAATTTCCCGTTTGAATTGGAGTGCCCGTTAGGCGAAGTAACTCCCACCTTAGAGAAGACTACAGTAAAATACCAGCAAAGTTTTGCTGGTATTGTGTTTCTGTCAGTGATTAAGACTCCAGGGCTCCACGGGGGAAGGAATGGGGACAGGGTAGACAACCGGTACCTGGCGGGTGCGCGGCCATTCGGAGACGGGTTCCGCGGCCACACCCGCCCTCTCAGCACGCACTAGGGGGACCGCGGTCCTCATAGTGCGTGTCGGGTGACGGTGCAGGAGTATTGTCTGGTTTTTAGTGGCCCTGTTCACATCAGCGAGCTCCAGGGCTGGCTGAAGAGGACAGGGAGGAGTCCCACATACCTTCTTCTCGCTCCCCCAGTGGTTGAAGGATGCGTAAGGCATTTTACAGACACAAAAAAAAGGGTAGACAACCGGTGTGGGTGATAGCTTTGGTATCGCAAGCATCTATTTGATATCATCATCAGCCTATTATTGTCCCCACTACTAGGGCCCAGGCCTTCCCTATTTATGGAATAGGGAGATTGGGCCATGACCCACCACGCGGGTACAATGCGGATTGGCGGGTGCTAACGACTGCAGATGCAGCCGGGACTAACGGTTTAACGTGCCTTTCGAAGCACGGAGGAACTCAAGATAGAAGATTTTTGGTCACCCACCCAATGACCCACTACTGCAAAAGTTGCTTCAACGATTGCAGCCGAACGCGCTAACCTCCAGCGTCATCGAGCTCCTCATCTCTCTAATCTCTATTATATATGGTAGCCGCTTACCATCAGGCTTGTCATAATCTTGCTTGTCACCCTTTTATAATAAAAATAAAACGACGGGTTGCACTCCGGGAGTGCCGGCAGAAGTGAAAACTTGAATATTAACGTTGTGCATTTTTGATATTTTGGAATGGTTAGGGAATAATTTTGCACGAATTGTTTTAATTATCAGTATAAAAGTACTATCGTGTATGTGGTAGAATACAATATTTATTTATTGCGCTATCGTACACAAACATGACAATTTATATTATATTAAAAAAGTTTATCTCTCAGAAAAATCAACTTACATGAATCACGTTTAAGCGCACATAGCGACATCTATTGTAAAGAAATCAACTTACATGAATCACATTTAAGTGCACCTAGCGACATCTATTGTAAAAAAATGTATTTTCTTCGCAATAAAGCTGCCACGTGGACGTCCTAGATAGAGACTTATTATTATAATACGATAAAATAAAATATTACTATGTTTCGTCCAATATATTCAAAGTCAACAACTTTTCTATTTTTATTGTGTCATGATGCGATCAGCCCACGTGTTTAACCTGACGCGAGTTTAACATTCTTTACCCATACAAATAAAACGTGTACAACGCTGCTAAAGAAGTTTTCACTTCAAAAATCCTTTTAGTGTTTCAGTGCTCCACGGGGTCTGGGATGGAGAAATTACGCAACAGTGATACTGAACGTTGTCGCAGCCGTCTCTTTGCCTGCAATACCGTAGCCGAATAAGCTTTTTGCCAGTTCAGCGTAGCGAATTCCTTAGCGACTTTTTTTACATAAAAATAATAATTGAACCTTAACCGAAAAGTCAATGCCTGCAGTTGATCTATCTATATATTTTGTGTATAACCTATCCTACACTTTATCGCCGGCTATCGAAATTCACGATAAAAATACTTAATGCCTTACTCAGCTTGTTTACTAAAGATATTTCCCGATTTTCGTTATAATTCAATGTCAAACATCAATAACGAAATTTCGGAAGTGATAAATTTTAGAAATAAAAATATAGTACCTACATATTTTTCGTGAAAAAAAATTTCACCATTACTTAGAAAGTTGATAGTCCATGTTTTCTTGGATGCTTAATTCACAAGGGTGATGCTTTACTATTTCTATTAATAAAAAAAAGTGTTGTCTGTCTTCCCTTTGGTTTTTGCTGTTTTTACTTCCTCTGGAGTATGGTGCAGAATATATAGTCCATGTTTTTAATGGATGCTAAATTCACAAGGGATGTTGCTTTACTATTTCTATCGACAATTAAAAAACCGTTGTCTGTCTTACCTCTGTTTTTTGCTGTTCTTACTTCTTCTGGTGTAAGGTGCAGAATAATTATGAGCCGAAGGTGCCAATGTGTTTGTATTCGTACCAATTTCACTGTATATGTCTTCAGCATAATCAATCCTATCATAAAGTTCACTTTCAGTCTGTGGACTAGCCATAGGTTGTGTCGAAGCATCAGAGAAATTATGCTTCGTCGATTCCGACGTTCTAGGACTGTCATGTTCCACATCTATTGTCATTACAATGCCTCCGTCTATATGTTCATCATCTTCACTTGAGTAATGTGATGTATCAGACAGCAGTCCTTCACCACTAGAAGGTATAGTTTCATTAGTATCAATATTAGTGACGATAGATGGGAAAGCAATTTCCTTGCCTTCGACGTAAGTTTGCGATATCCTGTATTGCTTTTTCATTTCTTCGTTGAAATAGACGTCGGTGTTGTCGATTCTTGGGATTTCTATTGATGATCTGCCTGATCCGTTGCCAATGGCTTCGGAATAACTCAAAGACCTTTCCAGGGCTCTTGATCTGCTCCCTCTCCGGGATTGGGTAGGATCATAATCCATGGTACTACGCTATCTTATGTAATTTCAGTAGTTGCTTAATTGTTCAGTACCTAATCACAAACAATACACAAAAGTTATATTTTAATGTTATTGGTATTCACGCGTATAATCGTTAATTATTTCATTGTCATTAGGTATTTTAAATTTAACGCCATCCATTTTTTTTATCTTCACACACTGTTACTCTGTTGTAAACATTTTTTTTATTATTTACTGTTTTTGGAGTTTTCCCGCAAAACTACGCTTTTCATACAAATTCAATTCTTTAGTTTGACTCAAAAAACTTTAAAATGATTTTTATGTATTCACCGTGAGGCTCGGCTTGTAGGAATACAATAACTAAACTTATCTACGCCTTATCTACCTACATATCCATAAGATAAGGAATATATTTACACACGTCTGTTGTGATCAATTGTGGGCTAGAATCTTGTTGCTTTGACTCGAGAACGAGTAAATACTGTTTGCACAAATGTTCAAGAAATTTTCACATGATATTATTCAAAGTTTTATATATAGATTTTGACTATTTTGTTTATTTATATAACAGAAATAGTTTCCATTGTACTTTATTTTCGTTTTGTTAAAGTTATATTTATATTTAGAATGCGCAGTTCTATTAATATTTGTATTACCTACTTCTTAGGTCCACTTGCAGAAATTTTGCTAAATCTCGATTTATCTTAATGTAGATTTAGCCCATACAATATTGTCAATTTAACATTGACGTTTTGATTTAAGGAACTGCACATTCTTAAATATTAAAAATAAGATGAGCTGTAACAATCACCGGTTGGTGCATTGAAATGAAATGAAAGTTTATTTGCATGAAACATAGTTTGTTACAGCTGGTAAATAATATAAAAAGTTCCATATGTTTCGCCCTTGGAAGAGCATACAAAATACTAATAAATTTTCTAAAAATTCAAATTTAAATTGAGTAATAGTAGCATTCCAAATGTAAATTTTATTTTTTTTATTAATTCAATTAATACATGTCAAATTTTCGACGCAACGACAGTGTTCAAACCCATAAACCAAGGAACCAGGACCTAACGAACCAGGACTTAAGGAACTAGGACCCAAGGAACCCAGGAACCAAGGAACCCTGAGTTCGAATGAGTGTGACGAGCAAACAATTCGTTCCCTAGTCATTATTAAGGAAATTAGGTTAGTATAGGTTTAGGTTGTAATTATTGAGCTTCTACTACTGCAACATAGGTATTATTCTCGTCCGGGGGTGGGCTCGGAGTTGTGGCGCACGCAGGTGCGTCGGCCCCGAGACGCCCCCACATGGGCGTAGGAGGGTACCGGGGGCTTTTAGTGGAGTAGGATCAGTGTGGCCTTCCGCTCCGCACTGGTCCTGCTTGAGTAGGGTCGGCACTGTTTCCCGTGCCGGCGAGTCCCACACACGCTGTGCGCCTAGTCAGCGTCACGGTATGGTGCGTAACTGCATTTCCCCTCGTCACAAAAAAAAAAAAAAAAAAGGTATTATTCTCGTGACCTACCTATCTACTTATAATAATTCAAGACAGGGATTTTCCGCTGGAATTGGAGCGCCCGTCTGGTGAAGTAGCCTCCACCTTACAGAAGACCACAGTGAAATAACACTATAGTGTCTAGGTGTTGTGTTTTTGCTGGTAAAGAGGGTCCTAGGTAGGGTTACCAGATGATAAAATCAAAAGTCCGGAGAAAAGGCTTGATTTCCATTGCAAAATCCTGAGATTTTTTACAGTTTGAGAATTTTCTCTCAAGTTTTCTCTTAAGTACGTTACTTAACAATTTAAAACAGTCGTCGTTCACATATTAAGTATGATTAAACTGAATAAGTACCTACTTGGATAATAAAGTACTGATTTTAATTGTGCAATTAATACCAATAGAAGATTATTTTTAGTTTGTTTAACTTTTTATTGAAGAGATCTTTAAAACGTAAGCTGTATTTTCACTGGGAATTCAAAAAGTCCTGAGATTTCATGAGATTTGCAAAATCCAGCCGCAATCCTGAGAACAGTCCAAAAATCCTGAAATCTCAGGACAAATCCTGAGATATGGTAACCCTAGTCCTAGGGCTCCGCAGTGTAGATTGGGTTCAGGCCGGCAAGTTGATGATGGCTGGAGGTACACCGTTTACCGCTTCATCAATCTTCGTGACTGAACTACACTTACACCTAACATCAGGTGAAGTGGGATAATTTGTTGCGCCACATCTTATATATAAAATTCTCGTGTCACAATGTTAGTTACCATACTCCTCCGAAACGACCTGACCGATTTTTATGAAATTTTATATGCATATATCGTGGGTCTGAGAATCGGCTACTATCTATTTTTCATATCCTTAAGTGATAATGGTTATCCACCTGTAACGTAGTGTTCTGAAACCTACTAAGCGCCTTCGCGCCAAAATTCAAACTATTGGGTATTGTAACGTAGTGTTCTATTAAGGGTTGGGAGGAATGTAACGTATTACACACCCCTAAAATTGTTTTTGGACAATATTTTTTTTTATAATGTGGTATAAAAAAATACATACAACCCTAAATTTTCTCTTCAACCACCTGCCCCTATTTTTATGGCGGTAAGAAGTTAGCTGGTTCAGCTAGTACACATATAAAAAAGGCATTAAAAAGTTCTTTAATTTAGTTTATCACACTAATTTTATAAAGGTGAAAGTTTGTGAGTGTGTATGTTTGTTACTTCTTCACGTCTAAACGGCTAGAGCGATTTTAATAAAAGTTGGTATGGAGTTAGCTGACATCCTGGATTGACACATTGGCTACGTTTTACTACGGGTAACACCGCTGGACACAGCTATGTAGTTTATAATAAAACTGACAATATATTACTCGCTCATTAATTAGCGTCATTATTTACAATAGAAAAAGTCAGTATTTTATCTTGAAACAATGAAACAAAAAGCATTTTATTTTAAAATCATTTATTTGACAGCAAATCTTTCACAATGGTAGTTAAAATAATAAAAATGCACAATAACTTATATTTATAATTCATATACAATGAGTACTTTACATTTAATTTATATTGGTTTTCTATCCATTAATAAAATTGAAATAATTAAAAAGAAAGAAAATAGAAGCTCTAATGTTTTTTCTGGTACAGACTTTGCTATTTTTTATAGATGGATTTCGTAAAAGAATCTTTTAACAGCTTGTCCGCTTTGTTGTGTTCAAATATTAAATATACATCGCAGTCTATATATTTTTGTTGTTTTTTTTATCAGATTTCGCAGTATGCCTTTTCCTTAGTTTAAATAATTGGGACGGACTACGAAGTTCTGTTTTCAGACTGTACGGACTTATGGGAGCTAGGCGAAGAAAAGTGTATACCCTGTAAGTCCGTACCGTCGAAAAGGAACTTCGTTCAAATTAAGGAAAAAACTTAGGCCTGTATTATAGAAAGATTCCATGTGATTGATCTTTACTTGAGTACAGTTAGAAAGGGATGTCGCTATGTGCTATATATAGCGACATCCCATTCTTACTATGCTCAAGACTAGATCAATCACTGAGAATCTTTCTGTTTTACGGGCCTTAGTGTCTTAATGTAATACAACATTATTTTCATCCGCGTAATTGCCATGGTTGTTAGGACATTGGATGTTTTAATGTTGGCATAAGTTAAATCAGCTATACTCTAAGTGTGTTCCGCGGAACCCTAGGGTTCCGTGATACCTCTGTCGGGGTTCCGCAAGAATTTAGAAATAAAAAAATCAAAACACCTCTCTCTGGTCGCTCCGCGGCTGTGCGGACTCCGCGGCCGCGCGGAGACAAAACGCTATGAATGTTATTTATTTATTTATTTGTATTTGTATAAGCTTGTGTTACATTAGCTGGTACAATATCTCATAAGTTTGGTCTCAACAATTTTATACTTGTACAACGCGTTCGCTCTAAGTTTGCCGGTCTGTGGAATGCGCGTACCCTCCCCCACGTGACAACAAAACTTATAATGTGTCATAGTTTTACCCAAATATCTAACGTACACAATTTTTATTGTTACAATTAAATAAAAAATTTCGAACGTCATACACTCATACCTATCGCCAGCGGCAAACTTAAAACGAGCGGGTAGTATACTTGTAAGCGCTCAGTCTCTTTGATAAAAGCCGCCTCTGAATTAGACGCTATAGTTGTCAACTAGCGACTTTCGTCTCTAACTTCAAAGGATAAAGTCGATATTGTTTACAACGCTATTTTTAAATTTCTGTTTTTATTTTTGCTTTTTGTTTATCAAAGGTGCCGACTCGAGTATTTTCGAGAATATTTGAGATCGAGTCTAGGACTAAGTATAAAAGCGGCGATCGCGCGTTGGCGTCGTCAGTTGATGATTAGCGTTCGGAGCGATAAGTTACTACCTACTTACAAGCTCGCTAGCGAGAAACTGGTGTTCATTGTTTTACTGCCTGCTGTATTCTGTTGTCTCAGTTTTATACATTTCTTCCCTGTAGGTTCTAAATTTAGTCTCTTATACGCAGTAACGATTGTGCATTATTTAAACCCCACTATCCTGACTTGTAACATTATAAATAAAGAAGAATGGAACGTTGGCTTAAAGGTGTTAAACGTGTTCCAACAACATCTTCTAATGACGCTGAATGTTCAAAAGCAATGCGCGCGGAGAATTTAGCAATCACCGATCCAGAAGATGATGCCACGAGTGCCACGACGTCAAGCTCGACGGTTTCAAAGACGAAAAAAAGGAAGTATGATGAATCTTATATCAGTTTCGGATTTGTTGATTCCAACGGCTCACCTCTCTGCATGCTCTGTAGTAAACTGCTTCCTAATAGTTCCATGGCACCTGCCAAATTGCGTCGACATTTAGAAACCGTACACCCCGAGACTAAAGACAAGAATAAAGAATTTTTTGTTCGCAAAAAAGATCAGTTATTAGAAAGTCAAAAAAATATGATGCATGTAACACAAACTACCAACGAAAAGGCCACGGAGGCATCATACTTAGTTAGCTATCGCATTGCACAAGCAGGTGAAGCGCACACTATCGCTGAGAAATTAATAAAACCATGTGTATTAGACATAACAAAATGTATGCTTGATGAAAAATCTGCAAAGCATCTTTCTACTGTTCCGCTATCAAACGATACTGTTTCACGACGAATCCATGATCTGGCAAGCTACGTCAAACAAGAACTAGTTACACGTCTACAAAATACACGATTCGCTTTGCAAATGGACGAGTCGACTGATGTCGCTGGTTTGGCTATCCTGCTGGTTATTGTGAGATATCCATATAAAAGTTCTTTTGAAGAAGACATGCTTATGTGTTCATCGCTGCTTACAAACACTACCGGGGAAGAAATTTTTAATAAAATAAATATATTTTTTGAAGAACATAATCTCAGTTGGAACAATTGCATTGACATTTGTACAGATGGGGCCAAGGCGATGACAGGTAAAACAGCAGGAGCAGTGTCACGAATGAAAAATAAAGCGCCTAATTGTAGTTCCAGTCATTGTATTCTGCATAGACAAGCACTTGCGATGAAGCAAATGCCGTCTAATCTAAAATTAGTTATGGATGAAGCGGTAAAAATAATTAATTTTATCAAATCACGACCACTACAATCCCGATTGTTCTCATTATTGTGTGAAGATTATGGCAGCAAACATAAAACACTGCTGCTCCATACAGAAGTGCGATGGCTGTCTCGGGGAAAAACTTTAACAAGGCTATTTGAACTTAGAGCCGAGTTACAAATGTTTCTTTCAGCAGATACTTCTTTTAATTTGAAGGACCGTTTGTATGATAAAACTTGGTTGTTCCGATTGTCTTTTATGGCGGATATCTTTCAAAAACTTAACGAATTAAATTTATCATTGCAAGGTAAACAGACAACAGTGTTTCAGGCCTATAATAAAATAACTACTTTTAAAAGAAAATTAGATTTTTGGATCATTTGCATTGGTAAGAAAGAAATAGAAAGTTTTACGTTACTCACTGAGTTTGTTAGCGAAAACGACTCAGAAATGTTTGAAGATAATGTGTTTGAAGAATTGGTCCAATATCTCAGTTCGATGCGCGCATCTTTTGAAAAGTATTTTCCCGAAGAACACAATACAAAAATTAAAGTGAACTCCTGGATTCATAATCCTTTTTTACCCAACTTGGAAAAGCCTGAAAACATGTCAAATGAGATATATGAATCTCTTTTAGAAATGTCATCAGACACAAGTATGGAGTCATTGTTCAAAACGACGCCTCTTAATGATTTTTGGTGCAGAATCCAAGATGAATATGCAATGCTTGGCCAAATGGCTCTGGATATTCTTCTCCCGTTCCCAACTACATATTTGTGCGAAACAGGATTCTCTACCTACGCAGCCACGAAAACAAAATATCGCAATAGACTGGACGCCGAAGCTGATATGAGACTCCAACTTTCTTCCATCAAACCTGATATCAAGCAATTGATGAAAAATAAAAAACAGTTTCATACCTCCCACTAGTTAGATTTTTTCTTTTTTAATGTTTTCTATTATTGTCCTTACCAAGTGGTGAAGTAAATAATAATTAGTAACGGATACATTGTACTTTTATTATGCTGATTAATATAGAATACACTTATAAAAATAATTGTTTTATTGTAGGGTTCCATCAAGTATTTTGCTTCCCAAAAGGGTTCCGTCATTTAAAAAGTTTGAGAACCACTGAGTTAAATGTTTCAGAATCTTTTAGAATTGTTTTGGCATGGGGCTTTGATAAAATATTTTTTATCGGGCAGGAAGCCTTACGTGTCGGGTGTACTTGTTATTAATATAAAATATATGAAAGTATGTATTTAGACATCATTACCATTATAAATTATGACCATGTTCTTTTTCTTAAAGGCTGGCTTTCGAAGCGAGCGTCAGTGACGCCGCGATAGAGCGTCAGACAGAATTTCTATGCAAATGATATTGTCAGTGCCGCTTTGACCGACGCTGACAATTTGTATAGGAATTCTATCTATTCTATATTTATGAGTTACCTCATGCTAAAGTCATTTTTCAATTTGACGACTCTGTATACAGGGTGTGACAAAAGTCCGAAATAAAACTTTAGGTTTTGGTTTTGTTTCTTGTATAGAATTACCTACGAAAGTTTGACGTCTTTCAGACCACTTTTATTTTCTAATTAAATTAATAAAAATATCGTTTTACACCTGCCTATGACAACCCTATAAATGCGTACGATTACTACTACCTAAACAGACCCCCCTCTCCCCCCCAGGCGCCCCTGCGCCCCGCTCAGATACCTGAAAATTTTTATTTCGGAATACATACCTACAAATTTTATTTCGGAATTCTGTAACACCCTGTATAATACAGGGAGAAAAAAACAGCCCTTGCTGAGTTTCTTGCCGGTTCTTCTCAGTACAAGGTCTCCCACCGTAGATTCGCGAACCGATGGCGAAGCTTTTCGACACTCAGAAGTGCTTGTAACAGCCTAGACTGAATAAACGATATTGAATTTTGAATTGAATTTTATCGGACGCTCTGTCGCGGCGTCGCTGACGCTCGCTACAAAAGCCCACCTTAGGTCATCATTTATTAAATCTTAGAACTTGCTTATTACAATCAAGAATAATTCATTTTAAAATTTTCCTCTTGAAGGAAGTACTCCTCTCGAGTTGGAACGCGGATATCTTGTCGCTGAAGCTGCTCGGAGTTCCAGGGGATTTCCCGGATTGGGTGTCTATGTTATCTTCCAGCTCACTACAAAGATAGATTAATGGTGCGTTAGTAAACACGCATGTATGAATTAGAATAGTATTAGAACTTAAATTCATTATTATTGACTATTACTGTCATCATCCACATCTTCTTAATGTTTCTTCTGCTGGGGCACAGGCCTTCCTTTTGGATGGAACAGGTAGAGCGGGCCGTGATCCACAACGCGGGCCCAGCATGGATTGGTGGGTGCTAACGACTGCAGATGCAGCCGGGACCAACGGCTTAACATGCCTTCCGAAGTACGGAACAGCTCGAGATAATAGGTTTTTTTAGGGGATTGGGGCGGGGTAGGGGATACTACCGAGGAAGAGCTCGATGACGCGGGTGGGTAGTTAGCGCGTTCGGCTGCGATCGTAGAAGTTAAGCAACTTTCACAGTGGTCGATCATTGGATGGGTGACCAAAAATCTATCTCGAGCTCATTTGTGCTTCGGAAGGTACGTTAAGCCGTTGGTCCCGGCTGCATCTGCAGTCGTTAGCACCCGCCAATTCGCATTGGGCCCGCGTAGTGGGTCATGGCCCAATCTCCCTATTCCATCCGAAGGGAAGGCCTGTGCTCCAGCAGTGGGGACATTAATAGGCTCATGATGATTATGAGGGGATACTCTGGTATCACAAGCGTATAGACAGAGGCTATAGAGCAAAATGCTTGTTTGTCACACTTTTTTGAAGTTATACTTCTTTAGGCGCGTTATGAAAAAATGATGAGAGTGAAATTTTAAGATGCGCGCGCATCACTGTAACACAAAAAATTACTTTTGTATTTACCGCACATTAAGAAAATCTACCAACAAAATAGAAATAGAATCTCTATTTAGTGGGTGCTAACGACTGCATTGTGAAGGCCTATCAAAAGTATTTATTAATCTGGAACAACGGAACCAAAGCGCGATTCAGGAGACTACAGCGCCATCTCTTGACCATTGGTGTAGTAGAACCAAAAACCACATCTTTATTTTTTGTAATAAAGTAACAGTTATAGGTATTCATATTTATAATATTTATCCACATGTTTCTAGTTTGTATATTCGGAATACTTGTTTGAGTTTCATACAAGTGCAAATCACATGTTCTAATAAATTATATTCAGTAGCGATTTTAATTGAATATTTTGATTATTTATTTATTTTTTCAAATTAAAACTGAACTTTATTGACTGTGTCCTTTTCCAGACTTTTTATTAATTTATTGTAATTAATTATTTGCATGCAATTAAAAACTAATTTTAAACGATGCCAAAGAAGGATAACTTCTCACGCGCCTACATAAGTACACGCACCCATTTTTTTAAATAATAAAGATCTACTTCACATACAATCTGCATTGTTCATCGACTAATAAATAATAATAAAAACTATAAAATTTCTTTTTCTTATCATGCGGAGGCAGGAAGCCTATGAAGTGAAGTGAGGTTAGGATAATGTTGATCAAGGTGTTCAGTTTAACGTTTAAGAGCCCTTTCACATTTCTCTGTCAAAAGCACTTTTGGGAAGGAAGGATGGCCTCATGACTTTATTTTTACAATGAGACTAAGTTCTTGTGTCACTTTTGTGACATTGACAGGAGGCCACTGCTGGTGAACAAGTAGTGAAATGAGGATTACTAAGTATATAACATTTTCTCATCAAAGAGAACGTTATAATAAGAATATTAAGGCTTATTTGCACCTTCCTGTATAAATACAAGACTTATTTATACAATATCTTGGTCGCACTGTAATTGATGTACATAAACTTATTGAGCACGTGAAAATCGTTCCTTTTGTTCATCATATTACCTGTACAATTGACAGGCGCTGTAGCATGGCGTCTCCACGGGCTCAGTTGCATCTAGTTTCTTGTGATCTATAACATACTTCTGCTTTCGCTGGTCGTATCTGAAATTTAGAATTATCAAAAGCATTGGATAATATAGTTCTCATAGAGGCATTTTCGAAAATCAAATTTGTATATGTGTTCTTTCACTATAGGATATTAAAAATTATAAGGATTCAACTGAATTAATATAAGTAACATTAATAGTTTTAAACTCGTTACTGATAATACAAATGTCTGCAACTGTTTTCTAAAGGAAATTGAGTTCATTGCACTAGCAACAACTTATCGGTCAAGAGGATGTGCTTTTGCTTCTTCATCAAGATTTGTTTGATTAATTTATTATATAAGTGTAATCATAATCTATAATTATTTAGCCATGCACCGACTGTTACAAGACCGTATATTATTTATTAATGGACATGAAAAAAAAAACAAAATCATACTACAATCTTAAATAGGAAAGAACTGTTTCTTTTTAAGTAAATCCTCCAGTAGTTTCTAACATTGAAAAAATAAAGGAAGTTACAGACACAAAATTTTTAGGAGTATTGACCAAGATTTAAACTTTAAAATACACGTTGACAATAGTATATGTAATAGAGTGAACAAATTCGTGTACGCAATTTCAAAAATTAAGAAACATCACTAATAAAAAAACCCGTTTATTTGACTTATCGGGCATACATAGAATCCATTTTGCGGTATGGGATTGTGATCTGGGGTAATAGTACAGATAGACATAAAGCGTTTATAGCACTAAAAAGTGTATCAGGGCTATTTGCGGGGTTGCGTCTGACGTCTCATGTAAACAATTGTGTAGGGGTTTTGGTTTTTTAACAATACCATTATTGTAAATTTATTTATGAGATTTGTAGCTTTGTAATGAAACATAAAAGGTTGTTTATCATGGCGGGTAATAGAAATTGTAGATTGAAAAGAGCAGTGGCGGTCTTAGGGGGTGGCGAACAGGGCAATCGCCCGGGGCCTCGCTCCTACAGGGGCCTCGCGCAACAACCCAAGCAAATTTTAAAAATATAAAGAAAAATACAATTTTTTCAATGACACCAGATCGGCTTTCAGCCCTCGCTATTCTTTCAATCGAAAATGACGTAGCTTATTCGTTAGATTATTGTGCTTTAATTAAAGATTTTAGTCTTAGGAAAAGCCGCAAACATCAATTTTAAAATTTATCATCTCTGTATTTGGTAATTTTGTGAATCTTTCAATGTAAAATATTTTAAAATTCAAATTTTATTTATTTGTATAATTTAAGCATTTTTCCTTAAACATGACAAATACCTAAACCAAACAACCAGACCTACTTTCGCATCACATACTTTTCACGAAGGACAAAGGGCCTCGCAAAGACCTGCCGCCCGGAGCCTCGCAATCGGTAAGGCCGCCTCTGGAAAAGAGACCCCCACAGACTAGTTTTAGATCAAGTTGCTTAATCAGCTTAGTACAGCAAAAGTAGTCCCAGCATGTGTGCTCATATTTATAACAACATACCTAAAGAAATAGAACGGCTTAATAATATACGATTGTTCCAGAAAAAGATGTATTCATGGCTTTGTGATTTACAGTATAAAAGAATTTCTTGACAATAAATATTAAGATTTAAATATACATACATTGACCAAGGTTTTGTAATTTGATTGCTAAAATAATTTAGCAAAACATGTGCACTTTATTATACGTACGTATTTTAAGATCTTTTTATACCATGTTTTAAGCAAATAAACAAATCATTATTATAATTTACTAAATCTGAAGCAATTAGGAAATATGTATTGTGCTAAGGTGCTTCTTATAATAATTTTATGCTCTGCTATACAAAGTCATTATCGTTGCTGCAACAGCACATGCGGCATGTGAAGACGCCGCACTCCGCTAGATGGCGTTGAAGCCGTGTTGAAACGCGCTATTGAAGCGTTGTCCCCAATACTTAAATACCCTAGCAGCAATTATTTAATCATACTTACCTGGCATAGGGGACACCGTGATCACGAAGGCGGTTCCCCCAGGGCGAGGCTCCTCCATTGCACTGCGGTGGGGTTGACCCCTGCGATTATCCCTAATGTGGATAACTCGGATGCGTAATTTTTGATAGTGGGGACTGCGTACGCGCTGTCCCCCCTCGTACAAACTAAAAGTTTCAAAGCTAAGGCCTAAAGGACAACGGCCAACTCCCATACAATTTTTTGTTGAAATTTTTTCTTGCGTCTATAAATGAATTGCATGTTAAATTATAGAGTTTACATTCTTGATTTGATTCATCTTATTTCTTATATTATAGGAAGTCCGGATTTATAGATATTCTACTTTGAAGTTTTGGAGGTTATGTCCTACCAAGTAATGCTAAAACGAATTATAAAAGTTTGTTTCAAGAGTATTTTTATATCAAAATAAAAAATACGTGGAACGGAACTATAAAAGTACACCGGTCCTGAAGATTAGTGACGAAAAAAAATGTTTTTTACAATGTATGATCAGTTGGCTTTCTTTCTTTCTTTGTTTGGCGTAGGTACTGACCAACCGCGTCAAAATACTTATTATCAGACAAGAGTTATTGAATTCAAATACAATGTCTGTGCTGTAAGAAGTACTTAACAATTTGAAAATGCCCACTGCAATAATAAAGTATAAAAAAGGATTTCTAATAATGTACTAATGGGATATTAATTAAATATGCAACACTTTTTATATACATTTTTATTCCACATCGTTGATCACAATATCGTAGATAGTAAATACAATGAAATAAAATCCACAGTATGGGACAGAATCGTGTCCAAAATCCACAGTCCAATTCGATGACAAGCATGACAGTGACAGTTATAGTTTTTTTTCGTTAGAATTGTCGCCATACTCTTTTTGTATTGTGGAGATTATTTAATATGGTTTCAGTATAATATTGAAAAATAATGTTTCCCGATATTTTTGATAGATAATTAAATACAGTTCAAGCGTAATGCGATGCAAAACATACGAACAACATATTTAAAGTTGATTTCATCACTAAAATCACTTAAAATGAATGGCTCAAAAGCTATCATGGCCAAGCGACAATAAAAATAAAAAATAAATAGTCAATTGTGTTTCCTTTTTTTTTTCAGTTTTTAATTCCAGACTTAGACAACCCTCCTCAATTGTTTAATAAATCTTTTGAGATTATTGACGTGACAACGTCTTAAATTAGGTTGCGGCTGGGAGTCACTTATGAAAAAGTGTAACGCTCGGTAACGTTACGATGAGTCTCTCGTGTTAAGTTTAAGTTTACATGTACAATGTTTTAGTAAACAAAATATATTTCTATAGTTAAAATTTGTGCAATTCTTATTTTCATTCAATTCCTTGTTCCTATTGTGCAATTTAATTATATTCATATCAATAAATATTCTACCGAGAAAAAGACGTTGTCACGTAAAATCTTCGCCCGTAAAACCGACTTTACAGGCAACCATTTTTTTTTATTAACATTTCTGATAATGACATCTATAGACGCTATAGATTTACTTCAACAAATATTTCGCCATTGTCCTTTCTGCTAAATCTGTTCCGTTGACGTTGACGTTTTGTCATTTTTCTATTTTATTTAATTCGCTAAACCTTGATTCCACTAAAAGTAGATCTATATCTTCTTTTAATTGAAAATCTTGAAGATTTGCGAATTTTAAACTTATCATGATAGTACAGTCAATCTGTAGGTTGAGTGGTGAAAAAAAAACCTAAAGGTAAGTCTTGTTTTTTCTGTTGCCAAATGACGTCAGTAAGCCACCTTGGCGATGAGCATGTTCAACTCGTAAGCGTTTTTTCAAAAACTCAAAAAAACCGTCAAAAAATTTTTGAAACGCATTTTTCTTGTTATGTATGCATTTTAGAAACTTTTTTTTTGAAAATAATTGTAGAGGGCGTTGAGTGCTACAGTTTATGTCATTGTAGCAATCTCGTACAACAAAAAAAAATGCGCATTGTAGGTGGCGCTAAAGTCTCAAAAAAAATGTTTTTTTACTTTTTCACCCGGAAATTATCATTTTAATGGAAAACTTTAAATGGCAAAGTTGTTTCGTACATAATTACCAACAACTTTTGTATAAACATTTTTTTTGTATTACTTACCGTTTTCAAGTTATAAATTGCGCAGGTATGAAAAATCTAATAGAGCGGTTTTGGGCAGTTCAAGTACACATTTGCAGTGCACATTTTAATGTACGTTTTTACTATTTTTTTTTTCAATCATGAAAAAAAAAAAATTCGACAGATTGACTGTACTATGAGATGTGCGATGTGCTTCGGCTAAGTTCGTCATAAAATTTTAAACGTCACTTATGTAAACTACTTATTGGACATCCTACTTCCTACATAATAATATATTATAAATAACAATACTAAAAATTATCGAGTACTTTTTAACTGCATATTTCTGCAATAGATCACTATATATATGCGATAATTTTTAAGGGTTTCATACCCAAAGGGTAAAAACGGGACCATATTACTAAAATAAGACTACACTGTCCGTCTGACTGTCACCAGGCTTTATCTCATGAACCGTGATAGCTAGACAAGAAAATTGAAGTTTTCACAGATGTATTTCTGTTGCCACTTTATCAACAAAAACAGATTAAAATTCTCCTTCAGATTAAGATTGACTCCCATACAACAAACGTGATTTTTTTCGCTCTTTATTAATATTGATAGCATGTAGAAACTTGAAATATTTACCGAATATAATTATTATATTTAGGGGTATATTCACTTTAAAAACAAAATAAATATTTAAGGGAGGTTAGCTAATAAGTTGGAAGAATCATACACAAGTTTAGCTAATAAGCTAAATGATACAATACTTACTTAACTACTGGTGGGAACCGATGGCCCCATATCACCTCCTTGGGGAGGTACGAAGTTTGGCTCTGTGTGAAGGTGCCCATGGATGCAGAAGCTCCTTTCAGGGTCAAGGTTATCTCGTAACTGGAAACGGTTATTAGATAATAAGTCACTAGGATTCTATTGTAGTTAGGTGTTTATTTTGTTTGTTCTACCTTACTTTCAATGGATAATACTAATCCATTATTATTATTCTTATAACGCTGTTATTTATAAAGGCTCCTTTTATATTATAGACGGTAAAAAAAAACATTATAATTGTTGATAGTGGAAGTAGTGATGAGATGTCAATATATATATATATATATATATATATAAATAAAAGATTAAAAAAAGGAAGTTTTTAAATTAGGTTGTGCTAGTAATAAGATAAGGAAAACGCCAATATTAGAGAGTATTGTTGAGGAGCTCAATGGCGCAAGTGGTTAGCGCGTTCGGCTGCGATCGTTGAAGTTAAGCAACTTTCGCAGTGGTCGGTCATTGGATGGGTGACCAAAAATTTACTATCTCGAGCTCCTCCGTGCTTCGGAAAGCGCGTTAAGCCGTTGGTCCCGGCTGCATTTGCAGTCGTTAGCACCCACCAATCCGCACTGGGCCCGCGTGGTAGGTCATCGCCCAATCTCCCTAGGGCAGGCCTGTGCTCCAGTAGTGGGGACATTAATAGGTTAATAGGCTGATGATGATTGTTGAAATAAAGGTGATGGATGATAAACTGAATAAAATGTGAAAGATGATGGCGAGAAAAGTTGAGATGGCATAGGTATCACAGAAAACGATAAAAGAAGACATTAGAAAATTGGGATAAGGCAGGCAAATGGAAAGAAGTAAGGATATGCACCGAGTGAATACAGCATAAATTCAAGAATACAGCATAAATTCAAGAATACAGCATAAATTCAAGAAATATTAAAATCGGAAACTGTGATTACCAATGATGATGTTGATGACAATGGAGACTCACCTCTGACTGGAGATGTGTTCTGGTGTGAAGGTGTAGAATGGGCTATTCTCATCTATGATGTGTACCAGGGTCACTGGCCATAGGAGGAACTGCTGCTGTTGCAGCGCGATACTGCGGGCGTAGTATCTGATCATCTCGCCTTCCTTGGTTCTGAATCACAAATAATAGATATGATTTGTGGTGTATCTCATTAGAATTTTCAAATTATAGAAATGGGTAGTAACACAACAGTTGTACTTTAAGATTTTAAAATCTTTTTGACAAAAATAGAAACCAACTTCATTAAAACAAAATTACTAAAAATTATGAAATTGTACATTTTCTTTAGTCAAATTAAAATTTGTTGTACGTTCCATGATAACCCAAGGAGTAATCTTATGAGAAAAATGTACAACAAGAATGCAATAAAATAAATAAATGGGGACTCAGATCTATCAAACATGCATATCACCGACTCCAAATATTAATAACGGAATTGTTGCTTGAATTGGACTGCCCGTATTTAGTAGTAAATCAAACCTGCGGCGCCGCGGCGTTGGTACACTTTTTTATGAACACCTACCAAGTAGCTTTCAAAAATCACAATAAAATATCATACCTTTTAATGGTATTAATTTTGTTAGGTAATATTTGTGTATTTATGTACTTAGTAGAAACATTTTAAAGCTGACGATGAAGCCAGATTACCGATGCATGTGGACGAAGTGTGCGTTAAACTCCGAGCTGATGATGTGGTCGTAGTTGAGGTCCCACGCGCGTATCATCAGGCAGAGCCGTCCGTCGCGTATGCTGATCTGATAGCACCAAGAAAAGCAGGAAAGCATTAAAAAAAATTCAATATACCTTTAGTATTATTTCAGATTTTTGGGGCTATAATGTCCTATTGGCACTGTAGTTAAAGCGTCCTAAAAGATCTATTGTGCCTCACTACCAAGTTAAAGAATCACTTTCAGCCCGCCAGCTTCCAAGAAGCTTAGATCGTTTCAAGCTTTCAGAGATTTGATTTCCTCTGGGCGTATTATAATGTCATTCCAGATGAATACTTATGTTTGTGGATAAGAAGACCACATTCACATAGAAGTGATCAGGCAATAAAACTCAAACATAGACATCCCTAATTATTGAATGTGTATGCTATTAGTCGCAGATGACCTTCACAGCATCACTAGATTTGGGAACGGTGAGTTCCTTAAATCACCTGAAGCCGGGAGTTGCCGAGTGCATCGAAAGGTATTAAAGGCGGATAGCATTTTCCCTCGGAGGAGTCTCATCTCTGTCAGGAGCCACTGGACCACTGGAACCTGAGGGGAAGATGTCTCTAGCCCATGTAAAGCTTACGTGTAATTATTACCCTAGCACCCTCTAGTAACCGTGCGGTCAATATGGAATATATTTTGATATACTGCTTGTCACTTTCTCATAATTACGAAGAATCTAACGACACTTCTCAAGGCAAAATCCATCAAGCCGTTTAGTCTGCAGAAGCCAATGAATATATAAATACTTACACTTGAAAAACAAAGTACCCTTTTCACTAAGTCGTATTAAAAGGGCCTCTCAAAGATCTGTCGGCCCGAGCTTCGCAGTACCTAAAGCAGAACCCCGCGTAGTTGGGCTGGCTGAAATACCCTCAGTATTTCAACCAGCCTAACTCCGCCGGGAACGCCGCTAGAGCCTCTTTCCAGGATTACCGCTTAGAGGTTTCCCTGTTAGCCGTGGTATTGCGCCTAGCATTCGGCCACTCCCTTGCCTTTTTTGCCGCTCTTATTACACAAAAAGGAGGTAGCTCTTAAATTGCAGGGAGATCGTGAAGGTCCACTTAGTCTACTAACTCACCACAGCTTTCTTACTGAACCCGACTCCGTCTCTCGACAGCTTCTCCGGCCTCGTCAACTTGGCGTACACCACGCATGTCAGCACTCCAGACAAACCAGTCCCTAATATTAGCTGGAACAAATAAGCAATATTTTTGAAGTAACCTACTTCAGTACTTAAGCTCCTTTTGCACCGGGTCGGTGTGGGCTCGTTTCGTTTTCGTTTCTGAGGCCCAAGCACGACCTATTGACAGCTGCGTAAATTCATTATCATCATCATTTATTTATTTATGGTACATAGATAATACATGGTTAGTATGCTTAAATATACAGTCCAACTACGACCAGCCATCAGGCATACAAATATAGAATTATTAACGGTACTTTAAATTAGACTTTATAAAAAAACAATTAAAATTCAAAATAAAATGTCCTCATAATAATAATTGTCAGTTATCTTAATTAAACGTGGTCGAGCGCCATAAGGATGGTTTTAGTTTAATTGGTAAAATTATGTTTCTATCTTATTATGTGTGGCGATATACCAGGAAAACTTCTCGCACCCACTTATCTGTGGGATTGATGTCGCCGTGGCTGAGGGCACTGGCTGGTTACCGGAACAAACATTGTTTATGGTGCCTTTCGTGTAAAAAATACATACTCGCTTCCTTCAAAAACTGTCAAGATGTGTGTCAGTACTTTTCTTTAATTATTATTAAAATATTCGGGACAATCGTAAAAACTACAATTGTGACGTGCGCTTTCTGGAATGCCGGCAAAGCAGGGTCCAGCCGCCTCACATTACGCCCGTCGGAGACCACGCAACCCATCGTCTTGGAGGTAAGTGGGCGCTTCCTTTTTCCTGGTATTGAACCACATAATTTATAATTTTGGTGTAATCCACCCCAGGTGTGGGCTATTTACACGCGCCACACCATTTATTTTGGTCCTTCGAGTGCGGATTCCATGCTCCAGCTGGAATTTTTAGGCAGTACATGACTTGGATGTTCGCAGAATAATTACGTATTAATTGGTATAATTCGCGAAGTTGCTACGTAGTACTGTCATATTCGCCATTTTGTAATTGCTACAAAATTTCACGGAAATAAAATTATTTCATTTAAAAATTATTTCTCGCATTGTAATAGCGTATTTAGTTGTTTAAAATGTCGAATTCAACTGATGATTATTCTGTCGCTGAACCGTCTGATAAGCAACTTACCTTATTAATAGCAAAAAAAGAGCGTCTCTTTTCACGTATAAATGATTTGTATAGGTTTGCAAATAATGTGTCTAATTTTGCATCACGTATTAATGAAACTTTCATGGCTCAGTCAGAGATAATCGATGAAATGCGAAGGCAATTTGAGTCCATAATTGACGATATAAATAACCGCCAGCTTACGCTAGATTCGGAATTTCAGCCTGATTATCAGCCTCTGACCGATTTTGAAGATTTGTATTTTGTGGTAAAGCGCGTCCGAAATAATATTATTCTGGCGTCGCAACCAGTTTTTCCGTCGTCATCGAATAATTCCGGTGATCATAATCCAGGATGCACCATTAAGTTGCCTCCGATTGAATTGCCTAGCTTTGACGGCAAAGCGGAAAATTGGCCGAAATTTTACGAATCTTTCAAGTCCAATATTCACAATAACCAACAGCTGTCTGACTCGCAGCGCGTGCAATATTTAGTAGGTAAACTAACGCACGGTGCGCTCAAAGCGACCGCGGGTATTGTACCTTCGGGTGAAACCTATAATATCATTTGGGATAGCTTAGTGAAAAAATATCAGGATGTGCGTTCATTAGGTACACTTTATCTTAACAATATTCTCGATGCGAAATGTTGTTCAAACACGGCAGCCAGTCTTGATTATTTTATTGAAAAGTATTCATCCTCCGTGTTGGCTTTAAAACAGCTGAATATTAGTGATTTAACCGATTTCATACTTTTGCATTGTGCGCTAAGGAAAATCGATGTTCAGACTGTTCAAGCGTTTGAATTATCTGTGCGTAACAAGGAAATTCCTTCTTGTGACGAATTAATTTCTTTCGTGCAAGATCAAGTCAAAATCTTAGAACGGTCGAACGTTTCGTATTCGGCGCGGTCTTTGGGCGGTAGTGTTAATAAAGCGTCTCCGTCTGCCGCGAACCCGGCATCCCGTTCTAACACGTACAAGTCTTTTGTTGCGAAGAATGAAAATGTCATTTACGCGTCGGAGAAATCGTGTATTTTTTGCAATAAAGGTGATCACTCAATTAATGCTTGTTCACAATTTAAAGGTCTGAGTTCACCTCAAGTTCGGTTCGATTTTATTAAATCGAAAAAGGGTTGTGTAGGTTGTCTTAGTGGATCGCATACCCTAACCTCTTGTAAGTCGACGGTTGCTTGTGAGTTATGCAAAAAACGTCATCATACTCTTTTGCATTTTGAGGATAAGAATAACAAGGTTCGGAAAAATACTTACGTTCATACGTTTCGAGTACCTTCCGGCGAAGAGTCGTTGCCCAGTGTATCGTCGTCGGTGCCGCCTGTCGCCTCGCTGCCCGCAGCGTCGTTTCTCTCTGCACCCGGCGTAGGGTCGAGGCCGTGCGGTTTGGATACACCTTCGGGTACCCCGTCCATTTTGAATACCCCGGCTATTTTGAGTTCCTCGGGTACCCCGTCCTTGTCTTTAAGTGCGGAGGTAAAACCGAACTCTACGATTTTGTTATCGACAGCTCAAGTTTATGCGAAAATTAAAAATAGTAATAATAGAAGGATTATTCGTTGTTTGATAGACAACGGGTCGCAAAATAATTTAATTACAATGGACTGCTGTAAATCGCTTAATTTACCAATAATTCCACTGAGTAACTCATTTGTCAAGGGAATTGGTTTGGCGTCTCGTCCTATTTTAGGGAACGTTTACTTGGACATTGAGTCCCGCGTATATACGAATAATAAATATACTATACAGTGTATAGTATATTTATTATTACTGTATAGTATACACGCTTTAGTGATCGACTGTATCACCGATCAGTTGCCCGCGAGTTATGTGGACGCTGGTGATATGGGTTACCTGAAAGGGATTCCACTCGCCGATCTGAAGTGGAACATTCCCGGGTCGGTAGACGTCGTTCTGGGTGCTCAGCTGTTCCCATATATTTATTTAGGGAATAGGGTCGTGTCTGGTACTACTTCGCCTCCTGCTTTGCTGACCGCGTTCGGCTACGTTCTGATGGGTGATTTCCCGAGTAATGTTCCTGTTGATACTTCTACTTCGTTATGCGCGCTTTCGCTTAATGACATGGTGCAGAAGTTTTGGCAGTTAGAGGAATTGCCTAATTTGCGATTTTTGAGTCCTGAGGAGACGGAATGTGAAAATTTGTATGTTTCATCTGTCACCCGCGGGGAGGGTGGTAGGTATTCTGTTGCTTTACCGTTCTGCAAGGACCCTAAAGAATTAGGTAACTCTCGCACTGCTGCCCAACGCCGCTTTATGGCTTTGGAGCGGAGGTTTAAACAGTCACCAGATCTAAGAGATAAGTATAATAGTATTATCGGTGAATATATCGAAAAGGGTTATTTGTCTGAAGTTGCTGATTCCGATGTGACTGTGGATGGGTATTACATCCCGCATCACGCTGTCACTCATCCGGGTAAGCCTATGCCTCGGATCGTTCTCGATGCTAGTGCGAGAACGCATACAGGGGTGTCACTGAATGACGTCCTGCATATTGGCCCTAATTTGCAAGCCGACTTGTTTTTGCTTCTGCTTGGCTTTCGTCTTTTTCCAGTCGCGATGACTGCGGATATCAAACAAATGTACTTACAGGTTTTGGTTCCGTATGAACACCGGAAATATATTCGGATTTTGTTTCGTTTCTCGGAGAATGAGGTCGTAAGAACCTTTCAATTTAATCGGGTCCCTTTTGGTCTCAAAGCGAGCCCATACTTAGCAATGCGAACTGTTCGTCAGCTGGCTGATGACATGCGATCTCTGTACCCGGAAGCTGCCTCGATCGCGGAGTCCAGATTGTACATGGATGATCTGGTCTATTCTGTGGCTGATGAGGCTAGTGCCGTGCGTCTTTCTCGAGAGTTAATCTCGCTTTTCAAGGCTGGTGCTTTCGACTTAGTCAAATGGTCAAGTAATTCTCATGTGGTTCTTCAAACCCTTCCGGACTCTCACCGCAGTGCAGTGGATTTGAATGACGGCTCTAACCATACCTTGAAGGTGTTAGGCCTTTCGTGGGAACCCGCGGACGACAATTTCTTCTTTACGACTGCTTACGTTCCAGAGAAATGTACGAAACGGAGTATACTCTCTGTGGTTGCCCGTTTGTTTGATGTCCTTGGTTTAATGGCTCCTGTTATTTTGTACGCCAAGTTGCTTATAAAAGAGCTATGGCTATGTAACATAGATTGGGACGTTACTCCCCCCGAGAGCATTTTACGAAAATTCTCGGCGCTCATTCAGGAGTTTCCTCTCATTTCAACTGTGAAAATCCCTCGTCATATTGGTGTAGTCAACGATTGCACCGTGCTGATTGTCGCGTTTTGTGATGCGAGTATGAACGGTTATGGTTGTGTTCTCTACTTACACACCACTGACTCCTTGGGGAATATAACTGTGAGGTTACTCTGTGCGAAGTCAAAGGTTTCCCGACTAAGGTGACCACACTCGCTCGTTTAGAATTATGTGCTGTGGTCTTGATGTCCAGGTTGATACGGACGGTACAAGGCTCTTACAAGGAGCGTATTCCGATTGCGGGAACGTATGCTTTTTCGGATTCAACTATTGCGCTTTCGTGGATTCATTCCTCACCGCATCGTTGGTCGGTGTTTGTTAGCAATCGCGTCGCTCAATGTCAAGAGAATCTACCTCCTGAGAACTTTTTTCATGTCGCAGGAAGTGAGAATCCGAGTGATTGTCTTTCCCGGGGGATGCTCCCCTCCCAACTCGTTTCACATGATTTATGGTGGAACGGCCCATCATGGATTCGAAGCCCTCCTTCTGAGTGGCCTTTGAAAGCCTTTTCGCCTAGCATAACAGATACGTGTTTCACTCTTTCCCAGCGAAAGCAACTGCTTGACAGTATGGTACAGTCCTACTGGAAGAAATGGCGCATGGAGTACCTACATACCCTACAATTCCGGCAGAAGTGGTCTACTGCTGGCCACGTAATTGATGTGGGAACCGTTGTTATTGTGGGACAGGAGGATTCTCCTCCCTTGAGTTGGCCCTTAGGTGTAATTTCAGAGGTTCATCCCGGTTCGGACGGAATCGTTCGAGTGGCGACGGTTAAGACTAAGTTCGGGATCTTTAAGAGGCCCATTGTAAAGTTATATCCTATTCCTACTCAATAATAACTTTTCTGTTTTAAGTTACGTACTAATCTTTAATTGTGTTAAGGCTTAGCCATGAAACGTTTCAATTTTCAGTTAACCTTATTAAAGCAAAGTTGTAATGATTTTTGTTTATAATTTTTTTTTGTTTTGGACTTCTGCGAACGTCCAAGGCGGGGAGCATGGTCGAGCGCCATAAGGATGGTTTTAGTTTAATTGGTAAAATTATGTTTCTATCTTATTATGTGTGGCGATATACCAGGAAAACTTCTCGCACCCACTTATCTGTGGGATTGATGTCGCCGTGGCTGAGGGCACTGGCTGGTTACCGGAACAAACATTGTTTATGGTGCCTTTCGTGTAAAAAATACATACTCGCTTCCTTCAAAAACTGTCAAGATGTGTGCCAATACTTTTCTTTAATTATTATTAAAATATTCGGGACAATCGTAAAAACTACAATTGTGACGTGCGCTTTCTGGAATGCCGGCAAAGCAGGGTCCAGCCGCCTCACATTACGCCCGTCGGAGACCACGCAACCCATCGTCTTGGAGGTAAGTGGGCGCTTCCTTTTTCCTGGTATTGAACCACATAATTTATAATTTTGGTGTAATCCACCCCAGGTGTGGGCTATTTACACGCGCCACACCAAAACGTCTTATCATTTATTTTATTCCTTATCCATCAGATATTCATTATATACTACATAAAAAAAAAACAACGTAATCGTCATTTTTTATGGAAATAGCAACGTTTTTCTTACGTCCGTTATGGGTGCTTCTTAGTTTTTGATCATCATTCTTTGGCGATCATGCTATTTTACGGAGCCGCCAGCTGTCAAAACTCGTGCTTAGGCCTCAGTACTGTAACGTCTGTTGCGTTACAGCCTCCTTGTTGGGGTAAACTCTCTGTTCATGTAATGCCTACGGCTGACAGTTATATTAAAAAGGTAATGTCATGATTTTTAATATAACTGCCAGCCGTAGGCATTACATGAACAAAGAGTTTACCTAAACAAGGAGGCTGTAACGCAACGGACGTTACAGTACCATATCTGTACAGCTCCTTTACCGAGAACCGAATTATTGACCGGCTCGGTTAGGATGCGGTGTCGTTTCGTTTTGTTTGCTACGGTCGGGTCGGGCAGATCAAGTGGTTCGATGGCATTCAAATTCAATATTCATTTATTCAGTTTAGGCTTTTACTAGAACATGTAAAATTTAAAAGCTACACAATCGGTTCGCAAATCTACGCCGGGAGACCTAACGGGGCTAACGATCTCATTTATTCGGATTTTTGACAAATCAAAAATCTAATACTGCCTGCTTCTAATGACATAGCGACATATTGCCGTGTAATGGCGTAATGCATATCAAACTAATATCTAAAATGGCGGCTGCCGAAATCGGAGTTGAGATTTTATTTTACAGAATCGCCTTACAGGTCGGTGCGGGCTCGAGTCGTTTTCGTATCTGCACCGAATGTAATTATATGCACTTGGTAAAGAATCCGTACAGAGTCGGTACAGATATGAGAACGAAACGAGCCCGCACCGATACGATGAGGATGGCGCCTTACTATTTGAAAACTTCTAATAAACACCAAACATATTTGAGCAGCAATAAATTATTATGTCAACTGTGCTCTGCAATACTAACAGGAGACTTATTTTCAATAAAATAATGGCAATGGTTTGCGAGTTGTGGGGATCTCAAACATGCCCCCTAGTTGAGTGGCCGACCCCCTCAGGTTTAAATAGTCTAGAGGCAGACAGAGAGGAGACTCCCCCCCGTGGGGAGATGCCATCTGCCTGAAATACCTCTAGAGGCACTCGCCAATTCTCAGCTTGTGACGTGACGCTGTAAAGGTTATCTGCGACCAACAACATACACACTCAAAAAAAAGAGATGAGAGGCCATAAGATGGGTGACCAAACTTTTACTATGTGGCGGCGACATCTATATGCCCCACATATATATAATGGATGGAGGATATCATTACTCACCATCCTCAAGAGATGGCGTTACCTGCACTGCGATCATAATAGTATGGAAGCCTACATCGCGCAAATGAAATTCGGAGGCGAACTCTTCATATATACGATGCCCGACCAACATCAGTCGGGTCGCGGCCCCCGAGCTAACATCACCCAGCTCGGAGGAAGATCTTCCCCTTTGGCCTTCCTACAACTATGAAGCTCGTTTAAAAGGTCTTGATGTATACTTGGTGGCACTCACCATACGTCATGGTCCATGCTCACTATTACATCCATAATCATCAGCCTATTAATGTTATCACTACTGGGGCACAGTTCTTCCCTATGGATGGAACGACTGCAAATGCAGCCGGGACCATTGGCTTAGCGTGCCTTCCGAAGCACGGGGGAGTTAGAGATAATAAGTTTTTGGTCACCCATCCAATGACCGACCATTGCGAAAGTTGCTTAACTTCCAAGATCATAGGTCGAACGCGCTTTCCACCTGCGCCATCGAGCTGTTCCATCCTTAATGAAGCCCTATGTAGCTAGTAGCAAGGATAAGAAGCTGCAAGTTGACCTCAACACATGTTTATAAGTTTGATGTCAGCTTTCAATTTGACGACTCTGTATGAAAATTATTTCAAGAAACTCAGCTTGTTGCTTGCTTGCTTTTTCTCCCTGTACTAACAGGGAGAAAAAGCAGCCCATGCTGAGTTTCTTGCTGGTTCTTCTCAGCACAAGGTCTCCCGCCGTAGATTTGTAAACCGATGGCGTAGCTTCTAGAGTCTAGAAGCTACGAATACATACACTACAATAGGCTATGACTCTGGTTGTTACGTTTGTGACTATTGCAAAGTCTAGAAAACTATAATTGTTTTAATATAAGCTTAAAGTTATTTTTTTTTAATATAAATGCTTTAATTTAAAGCCAAATAAATAGGTATTTCAGGTTAATCATTAGGTATATTCACTTTGGTTAAACTACGCCAATCTGTGATGTCTTAATTAAACCACAATTGATCATACTTGTGATAATCCAGGGTTGTTAATTACTTTAACTTGAATAAAATATAAGTTCTTCAAACATTAAATGCAGTGTTCATTTTATCTCTTCATCCGTGTTAATACGATTTTTTTAAAGTAGTATTCCAAATTTCCATCCTTTTCTCTACCATTTTCACCACGGAGGTCGTCGACAAGTTTGTTAATTATTTTCTTAAATATACTTACTTGCGTTATGAAAAGGAAGATCGACTCGGGGCATTCTTCGTCTATGGCCCGATCGCCAAAACCGATTGTCGTCTGAAATAAATAAAAAAATAACCTTTTGACTTTATTAATTCTTTAATACTTTATTTTCGTTCGCTACTTATTTCTGTTCATCACTACTTCTTTATCATTCCGTTGTATCCTGTACCTATTTATAACATTTAAGAGAGGCAGGCCACGGCGGATTTTCTGCTCGAATAGAAGAAGAAGAAAGAAAGAAAGCAATTTTATTTTTCTTAAACACATATTTACATAAACAGGACATCGCAAGACAGGCCAACTAGCCTGCCTCAGCTTAATACTACAGCAATACCAGGGCTGCTGCAGCTCTGATAATTATGGCAGAGCCTATGGTTGACGAGACATTTTTTTTAATATAATAATAAAACAGAACAGTAAAAACCATAAAAACCTTACTAGAAGGCATTTGGTGTAACATCAAAAAAAGTTTGAGATCACTTGCATAAGCTGATATATTTTAAAAATTTAACTTTATCAAGAGAAAAGGTTAACGTAATATTTGATCATTTAAAAATACACTTACTGAAATTAAAAAATAAAGCAATTTTTATATTTTAGTATAAAAAAAATAATAATTTTATTCAATCCTAAGGCGATTGTAATAGAACTTTGATAAAAATAAAAAGATAGTTTGACCAAACTTAAAAACCTTTTATTAATAAATTGTAATTTATCTAATACAAAATAACTCATCCTCTGGCTCGAACACATGCGGAGATCCTTCTGGGCATGCTGAGGATCAAATTATCTAGCATTTCTTGTGGTAACCTGTCCCATTCTTGAACAGCAGCTTCCCTGAGCTGTGGCACTGTCTGGGGTGGTGGCTGCCGGTTCCAAACAGCTCGCTTAAGAGCATCCCACGGGTGCTCTATTGGGTTTAAGTCGGGAGAGCCGGCAGGCCAGTCTAACCTTGTGATTTCGTATTCTCGAAGAGCAGCATTGACTAGTTGAGTTCGATGTGCGGGCGCATTATCGTCAACTAGTACAAATTGGTGCCCATGGTTTACTCGGAAAGTCTGACGATTCCATCGATAGCGACGGTTTTGTATCTGTCTGCCGTCATGAAGCCTTGATAAGGGATTAAAGGCGTTCTAGCCCCAATCATAATACCACCCCAAAAGGACACTGATTTCCCGTCTTGCTGAACCGTTCCAGTGACCGTTCTTTGCCAGTCTCCAGGTCTTCTCCAAACACGGACACGTCGGTTATCTGGATGAGTACTGATTTGCGATTTGTCAACGAAGAATCAGTTTTGCCAAATATTGTCCTCTTCGTCTTCTTCGTTTTTCCGGAGCCTAGCCCACTGTAATCTCCGTCGCTGACGTTCCTGTGAATTCAAAGGTGCTCGCCAAGACCTCCGTGCTCGTAATCCGCCTTGTGTCAGCAATTCCGAATGGTCTGAGTGCTAACTTCAAGTCCAGAGGCGGCCGTATTTCTGCTTTTAATCAAATGGCGTTTATTGTTGGGTCGCGGGCTACCAGCAACCTGATGTAGCGCTTCTGAACAGCTGTCAAAATAGTTGGGCGACCGTTGCGGGGTTGATCTTCTTATATAGAAAAACAATTGAATTATTTTATTGTTTTACGTTCTAATTCTAATTTTAAAATTAAGAATCTTATCAGAAAAAGAAATTACAAAAAAGTCTTCTGTAACACAAAAAATAATCTATTTTTCAGTGATCGCAAACTTTTTTTGATGTGTGTAGATTGCCTATAGGTATTATATCAAAGTCTGTAATATTGCGATGCCTCATCAATAAAACGGAAGTTAGTTAGTGTGCTGTGAGCTGATGTCATGAGCATTAAAAATGATGATTGAATGTTCAGGAATGCTCCTTCGAAATTTGAAGTGCTCAATTTGGCTAATCAAAGCCGATTGGCCCGGCTTCCTCTTTTATGGAATTATCAGACCGACAGACAAATTATTGTGATTGTGACTAGAATGAAATTTTTACTGCCCTGAATTAAGGAGCTCGATGGCGCAAGTGGTTAGCGTGTTCGGATGCGATCGTTGAAGTTAAGCAACTTTCGCAGTGGTCGGTCATTGGATGGGTGACCAAAAATTTATTATCTCGAACTCCTCCGTGCTTCGGAAGGCACGTTAAGCCGTTGATCCCGGCTGCATCTGCAGTCGTTAGCACCCACCAATCCGCACTGGGCCCTGGTGGGTCATGGCCCAATCTCCCTATTCCATCTGTAGGGAAGGCCTGTGCCCCAGCAGTGGAGACATTAATAGGCTGATGATGATGAATTGAGTAAAAATTGAGTGAGGGTACGGTAGCCGCATTATAGCGCATAATGAGACATTGGGGGCAAGGAGAAGGAAGAAATAAAAGATATACAAGCAAAGAGTTTGCCAATGACTATTTTTAAGAAACGCTTAATAAAACTGTTAATTGACAAAGTATATTATACTACACAAGAGTTTCTTAGTGACACTTCCTTGAAAGAAATGGACACCATTACCTAATTAACTCATATTTTTTGCCTATTATAGCACAATTTATTATTATTATATATTTTTAGTTTGACATAAAAATATTGCTTAGTAATTTTGACATAAACATATTTTGACATTTATTTCTAATTATGACTTGTTTGATTGTAATTGTAATATAATAATTTTGATTTTTATATAATTGTAAACCTGATTATTACTTAATAAATATTGTATACCTTGTAATAAGGTCGAGATGTAGTGACACTAAACTTTTTACCTAACACCAAATTGCTGTACTAACCTACATTACACAATAAATCATTTGAATTTGAAAAATTTGAAAATTTGCATTTATATGCTTAGTTTGGACGTCAGTCTTTTACAAAGTTCTACCTAGCTACTTATAAAACTACAATAAAATGTTTGGCGTGAAATCTACAGCCACTATCTTCCCGTCCGAACACTGCCGGTCAACAAGCGATCTTTTGGACCAATCGCAAGACGATTACCGCGTATTCCACTAAATAAATTGTCATAGTTTCGCCGCGAGTTTGAAACTATGCCCGCCGCGTGACATGTATTTGAACGAATACAGGTATACTAGACTTTGATTATTTTAGAACAGTTTATTCATGATCTAATAGAATAACTCTTTATGTATTTAAAAAAGTATATATTCATGTATAGCCTTGAGAGTAAAAAAAAATATTCACTATAACATAGCTAGAGTCGCGCGTGTGACACGGAAAAATCTAGTGAAATTACCGCGTTTTTCAATTTCAAATGGATATTTAACCAATTTCTTTATTTAAATATATTTTTGAAGTGAAACTTCTTTATCGGCGTTGGAAAAAAATTTACCGTCACATTTTTCGGTTACGCGTCACATTTTTCCGTTACGCGCCATCTTTTTTTATATTAATAGTTGATAGCTGAATGATCACACTGTCGCCGGCGAGAACTCTCTCTACTCGTTTGTAGCTGAGTGACAATAGTTATTAAAGATAAGACTCGCTCAGCCAAACTCGCATAGCGATACTCGCATACCGATACTCGCTCAGCGATACTCGCATAGCGATACTCGCTCAGCGATACTCGCTCAGCGATACTCGCTCAGCTTTACTCGCTCGGTTAAGCTGGCTTGGCTGTCAAAAGCCGTGCGCGTGCATTTTAACTCAGGACTGCCAATTCGTTTCTAGTTTCTACTCGTTTATCGTTCATCGTCGGAGGTGGAACATGTGCCTTAGATTACTGAGCCGTGTAATCATAACAGTTTCATAGGCAGTAATTTGTATTCATGTCTATGATAATAAAATCCTTTTGTTTAAACTTTATCTAATTTAACTTTATTTAACCAATTTCTGGAAAGTTGCATGTAGATCATTTTTCGAAAAATAAGGCCATAAAGAAGTTTCACTTCTTACGTGTGTACACTAGTACACGCACACATTTTTTTTATCAATAGGCCTCAATACTACATTAGTTAAGTAAAGTTGTACTTTATTCAAGTTGATGTATTACTCCAGTTAATATTTCAATGGGACCCTTAAAATCATGGGTCCCAGGAATCACCCCATAACTTAATTATACAATAAGTGTTCAAAATGTATTTGTAAACGGGGGAGAGATAGATAAATAAATAATTAAAAAAAAGTCGGTAGACTAACGATATGGTATGTATAGCAAATGGTAGGGGACTTCCCTTTACCAATTTCCTTATTGAGGAGGTAAAAACTGTTTTTTTTTAACGATTCATATGGAACACCTAACGTATTATGGGATTGCTTTATTGGGGGAGTTCATTTGTGTAATGAGTACTTATTTGTTCTTGAGGCAGGATTACCTTTTACCGATTTATTTACTACTAATAATAATAAGTGTTTATTTCAGGCACAGTAACCCATATTAAAAATTACAATAACAATTGCATTTTGTCCAATTTTGTCTTAAAATTAAATCATTGTATCACAACTCAAATATTCAAATTAAATTCAGACAATAACAATAATATTAATAAAAATATAATAAAAAAAATGGTTGCCTGTAAAGTCGGTTTTACGGGCGAAGATTTTACGTGACAACGTCTTTTTCTCGGTAGAATATTTATTGATATGAATATAATTAAATTGCACAATAGGAACAAGGAATTGAATGAAAATAAGAATTGCACAAATTTTAACTATAGAAATATATTTTGTTTACTAAAACATTGTACATGTAAACTTAAACTCATCGTAACGTTACCGAGCGTTACACTTTTTCATAAGTGACTCCCAGCCGCAACCTAATTTAAGACGTTGTCACGTCAAAAACTATATAACATAGTTTTACATATTAGATTTAATGAAATAAATAAAATAAAATAAATTAAATAATACGTAATAGTACTAATACGTTGTTCAGTTTCCATACTACAAGATTTGCTAAAAAGTAGGATTTTAAAATAGTATTACCTATAGTACGAGTACAAGATTGACTAGTAGTACCTATGCAAAAAATTGGGACTCATAGTATAATATTTTCTTTTAATTGGGACTAATCATTGATGTTTTATAATTGTAGATACGCGTCAT